AGCTATTTTGACACTATCAGCTCCATGTTGGAACATTACTCGACAATAGAACCAATACCCAATACGAGAGATTACCTCAAGCTAGGCATTCATCAGGTTGGGGCCAAACAAAGGATATAATTCATGAAAAAATGTTTCGAACAATACAAATTCAAGAGTTTTAATGATTTTTTAAAATGTTTTGTCAATATTCGTTAGCCTGATTTGGATAGGATCACAAACTTAGTTTTTCTTGTATAACCCTAAATCTTGTTGTGTGATATTTAACAGAAAGAAACGGATTTGCTTTTTTTTTAAATTGAAGCTATATAGGCCTATTCATTAAATTTGTTTTTTTTAGTCTTTTTGAAAGTAGAGTACATTTTGAGGAACGTTTAGCTAATCCCGCGGAAACAAACACTTTTTGTTCAGTAAAAATCATAGCTGCCAAACTGAAAAGTCCCGAGTTCGAACCCATTGTCAGATAAGGCTCGATAGCTAGGGACAACCACTCCTCTAGGAGAGACAACTCCAAAATCAAACAACTGCTTCCTTGTAGTTTGTTCTTGGTTGGACAAATGCTATGAAACAAAAGAAAAGCAGGTTGAAATCGGCGTCAACGGCCTAAACGGGTTGACACGTAATTCTTAAGTATGTTGGAGTAAATCCATTCTAGTATTAAAATAAAGAACGATGAAGAAGAATATCTTTAACCTAAAACTGCTTTCATCATATTTTGTTTTCAACTAAAATTTAGCCGAACATTCAATACGTTAAATCAAATGGTTTAGTGTTTTGTGAAAAGATCAGACACTACACATGTATAACTAAAACACATTTATGAGCGTGTTTCAATATAAGCATACATCATACTATCAACACAGTGTAGAAACATACATGTGTTGCTACTAAACATAGCATACCAACTACCATTGTATGACATATGTGCTAGGCATATTAAAATTAAGGATGGCCAATTTTAATGAAAAACATTTCTTTTTAGGAAAATAAAATTCACAAAAAACGTTTTAATAACAATGCATTAAAAAGTAGAAAATAAATTATACATTTCTATTTAAATTACTATAAAGAAAAGCGTGGGTCACTTTAGTACCTATTGGATACTAATATTTAGGAAGAGACCCACGCTTTTCTTTATAGTTATTTAAATAGTAGTGAATAATTTATTTTCTCCTTTTTAGTGCATTATTACATAAACACTTGTTATTAAAATGTTTTTATTAAATATTTAAAAGTAATTTACATGTTTTATTTACAATAGAGTTACATGACTAAAAACTATTGCGCACCTATTGATCGTGATGACGCGTTTATTAAAGGGCGGAATAGTTTTATGAGACAGCCTACTAATTTAGACACAATTTTAATGAATTCATAAAAAATTAATTAGGCAACCAATAAGCGAAATTTTGAGCACTTCTAACCGACCGATTCGTTTCAAATGGAATGTCATGTTGCATTGTCTTCATGTCTGGACCCACGTATCAACTACGAACCGTATATGTCAGTTACAAGTGCTTGCAATTTCGCTCGGACGTTTCGATCTAGACAGACTGACGACTGACTGACGACAGACTGACGACTGACGACAGAGATAGTGAGTTAAATAAAAGCTTGTAAAAACGCCTTGTTAATCTATTAAACCAATAGCTCGATGTTATGGTCTCATGTTGGCTAATATGTCTTTCGATGAAATTTAATATCGAGCAAATTGAAATAAATATTTTTATTCAAACTAATCGGGATTTGATCGATTTATTTTATTTGTCACATAATATTGTATTCATGCTAAGCATCAAATGCATAGTTTTGGCGGTATTTTAATCAAAGCTCAATCTAAACGTTTCGTCAGTTAGTTGTTAAACAGGATTGAACTTATCATAATCAGGAAGGTGATATGAGCATGATGTAAATGTTATCAGTGTAAAAGGTTATCTAGAGAGAAAAAAAAGTGTGTCAGTTCAAACACATGATATACAGGTTATTTCAAAGGTTTACGAATACCACAGAAAGATAATGACGTATTTATACAAGATCAATGTAAAGATAATTAAGTCAATTTAAAAATAAGGTAATAATAAGTACGTCAATTAACAAATAATAAGGTAAAGATACTTAAGTCGATTTACAAAAAAGAAGATAAAGATAATGAAAAACTCTGAACATTTAACGGATCGCTAACATACTAATGATCGGTACTGCACTGGACTGTTAACACAAAAGTCTCGAGTTCGGATCCCGGTCTGGAGTCTGTAGCATGTCCCTGTGTCCACCCACCCGGCTGTGAAATAGTGCTGACCACACATTACCCCCTGTATGCCAAGGTCATTGCAACAGATGAACTCTACTTCACCTGCCTCATTTTTGTCTTGGGCATGGACGGGAAAAGATACACTCAGTGGGTATCGAGCAAAATAGTTTTTATACTGAATGTGGGATGTTGGGCGTGTGATCTATAACGTGCCAAGTGATATACAACAATGTTGTCTAGCACTGGCTTTGATCATTTGTATTTTCATATTTAGTTAAAGTGTTTCTATTTCTTTGTCAAAATTGTGTTTGGGTAAACAATGTTTGCAATGTAGCTCCTCTATAAACGACACCGGAAATACTGGAGAGTTGAGAGGAATCCAACTTTTTGTGACTAAAGTTTGACTTTATAAGGGGACATTTTAAACAGAATTACAGCTCTAGCATTTATTTTACTTGTTTCAATTAATTTAGTAATTTGTTATAAACAGTGATTAATGAATCTGAGACTGACCAAAATTCGTTAAAATTGTTAACAGGGCTGTCAGGCAATATTTTTGGATTATTATAATTGGTGTTTTTTTTTGTTTGTTGAATGCTACGGGAAACAACTCAAGAAATCTTTTCGGCAAAATCATCTAATCCTGGTCATGTCCCCTTAATTGAAAAATATGGGGGGTGGGGGTGTCCGTCTATATTGTGATGGTGTTTTTTTTTTCTTTCGGGGGGTGGGGGGGTCTAACAATTTTTAACAATTATTTGTGGATTGAGAGGAGTGTAGGTTTCTAAAACGTATCACAAGTTGTTTCGATTACAATAATTGTTTCCAATAGCGGCGTGGACCAAAAGCTACGATTTCTGTAATTGATCTGAAGACTTGTTAACCTAGGCATTGAGTCCAATGGAGAGGCGTAACTGTAGCATTTTGCTCTTCGGGAGGGTTAAAGGATTAAATCAAATAAGTCAAAGTCTAGACCTGCTAAATTGTGTGGCCTTTTGTTGAGGGTGGGGAGGGTCCTAGATATGCTATATAAAATAAAGGGTGGTATACGGAAAAGATACAAATTTTAATTTGGAATAGGGGTGAGTAATAATGTCCTTTTTTGTGTTAGGGGTCATCTATAAATGACATGTTTTTGTTGATGAGTCTTTTACCTCTGCCCCACCCCCTTCCCTTTTGTAACGCATCGTTACAAAATACCAGACCACTCCGAAAATGACGTCACACCTCAGCCTACAACTCCCCTCCCACCTTCAAAATTGAGTTGTTAGTTTTTTAAACATGTATTTTTTTCTAAAATATTTATTCAATTTATATTACATTTTTTAAAATCATTTAACAACGCAAATTAACTGCTAAAGTTCAGTTTCTAATCTTGCTTTTAAAAATGCCAAAGTATGTCGTCACACTTTCATACCCCCCCCCCCCCCCCCCCCCACGTCACACTATTCCGAAGTTCCGAACCCCCTCTCCGCCTAGGGATGTGAAGTCACTTTTTGGAGACCACTTATATAAAGTTTTACTGTATCTAGGTAGCCGGCTAAAATTACAAAGGCTTGGTTACCGGGTAGCCAATCAAAACTTCGTCATTTGCTGTGTTTTAATAGATCATGTACGTTAGCCTTATTTTAAAATAAACTTTAAAATGTCGAAATTATTTTTTTTTGTTTATTAATGTAGGTCTAGATCTAGACATCTGAGATCTAATTCTAAATAATACTACTCTAGACTGCACTTCAGCTACACGCTGGCTACATTCACATTGTCTACGACCGAGGAGGAAAAGGAGAGCCATTTTTTTTATTAACAATTATTTTGACGAAAGATAATAAACACTATTTGTAACAATACGGTTTCCGGTGTCAACAAACACTTCTACTTTTACTTTTACAATTCAGCGGTCTAAAATTCTAAAATAAACAATTAGGCTAATACATTTGATTCGAGGCCTATGCCTATACAAACATTATAGTTTAGTGTACTTATACATAGATCTACATAGTTGATTTAGAGCATCATACTCACGAAATGCATGTTGCACATAAGTTCTTCTCTTTGGAAGGAATGTGGGTCAACAGAGACAACACTAACTCAACACTCAACAGCCACCAACACCAACCAAAATGTGGAGAAAGCTTGTGTAAATTTGACATTTGTTGAAGGATCGTATGAACAACACTTCAACTTATTGAACTTACTAGATCTAGATCTATTACTTAAACTAAATTTTCTAAATTTTTATTGTTATAATCCTATTTTTTCAATAAATTCCGTTTTAAAATTGATTAGATTATTTATAGTTTTTTATAGTCTACATTTACTTTTATACATCTATTCTAGATGCCCTTTATTAACAGAAGTATACTCCTATATACTTATACACTATACACTGTTAGTTTTGTATCTAAATTTAAAACGAAGTGACTACTCGGAAAAAGATTTTTCTTCCCAACGTCTCCACTTAATCAGCAAAAGATAGTTCTGCGCATGCACATTGACCTAGGATTAGGGATAGGTTTAGGGTTAGGGATAGGATTAGGGCTAGGGTTCTGCAGTTGTAAACACACACATGCGCAGTACCATCGAAAACATCGCCGCGGTGACAAGTCGTAGTTTCTCTCCATTGCGCATGCGTATCTTTTTCCGGCTAGCATTGGCCAATTTAAAATTATCTAAATATTAGTGTTTAAGTTCATACAAAATAAATAAATGTTTTCATTATTTTCAATTTTTCTTCCCTCAGTTCTCCAGTTTTAAAAACTTGCTGCCCAGTTTAGACCAAAACCAATGGGAATAATGAGAGTAAAAATCAGATGGAAAATGTACTTGAGCAAGCTCCATGTGAAAACATTTGTTTTGTATACTTTCCTGTTGTTAGCTCTTGCGACCCTGTACAAGTTGTACAACATGCAACACAACAACCCAGTCACATTTTATGCAGATAACTTTGAATTTTTCAAAGTAAAAAGCAGGAAAATTAGTTATGTTGAAAGGAAAAGAAGATATTGTAATGTTTATTCACTGCAGCACAAATCAAACTGGACTGTAGGACATAAAAGTAACAACCATGGGTGTCGCCGTGTCCAGCCCATGCCAGGATCATGTGACCTTGCTGATGAATTATTCCTATCTGAGCCACCTGCATCTTGCTATGATGAAATTATAGAGTTTTGCAAGTTGAAGGTTTGTTTGTTTAAAAAAAATGTTTTTTTTGGGTTGTCTTTTTATTCTAATATTTTCATCATACAGATGAAACAGACGTTTTTAAAAACCATGAATTTATTAGAAAATAATTTTTTTTTTGTCATCTGTGTTTATATTTGAAAATACACAGGATTTATTAATTAAGTTTAAATCGTTTCTTTATCATCAGAATAAATTAAATTGTGATGATTTAATTTTTATCGTTGTTTCAATAATTTCTTGTACTTTACAGAAAGATTCAGGAACAGGGTGGGTGGTGACCTGTAACAGAAACCTTACAAAGAACTGCATGATTGGTACAATAGATCCAGCGAAGGGGTCCACGACATGGGAGAAGACAGCTGACATTGCATCCGAAATAAATTCATGGATTACAGGAAGCAATCGTGGGATGTTTGGATTTTGTTTTATAAGGTGCCCGGTGGAGACTGAATATAGCAACATGGATGATCCTATTTTTAAAGAACAGCTTCTGATACTGCCTCCAGATTTTAATTTAGAAGAACAAGGCAAACGTTCGCCGACCTATAATAAAATAAATGTAAATATGATTTTAATAGATTCAGTTTCACGTCAGCATTTTTACAGATCATTGAAAAAGTCTGTAGCTATTTTAGAAAATATGAAAAGTGCCGATGTTTTTGACTTTGAATTAGTTCAAGCTGTGAGGTCAAGGACATTTGAAACTTTACAGACAATTTTTTCTGGAGATGTCGACCCAAATGTACAGCCCTTTGGGACTCAAGAGATACCGCCGGAGCCGCTTAAAGTTGGGGCACTTTTTGGGAAGTATAAGGCACTTGGGTATAGAACACTTTGGCTGGAAGACCTGTGTTACCTGTGGGAGTGGGGGATCTCTAAAGATTTACATTTCTTAAACAAGTCTGGCAGCAGTGAACAGACTTGGGCTAGAATGTGGCAGAAACTGGTGTTAAATTCTATTGACAGTGTGGGTGTGACTCTGGCCATGTGTAGGGTGCTAGCAGCAAACAACCTAGAGGATCATTTTCACGGGCCCGACTCGGTTTGTTTCAATGGTCGTCACCAGCATGAATATTTGTTGGATTATCTTCTCCTGTATCAGCAAGTAATGGAAGAATCACAACAGCCATATTTAACTTTTACGATGACCAACGTAGGTCATGAGGATACTGGTAGACGTATTCAAACGTTGGACGCTGCCTTGGCTAAGTACTTATCCTCTGCCGCATCCTTGCCCAATACGCTAACCATCGTATTTTCTGACCATGGCAATGCCTATGGACAGTATATTGAGATGAGTGAGGAAGCACGTATGGAGCTGTTTCACCCATTTATGTTCTTTCTCGTACCCAACACATTATCCAGCAAGCTTGGATCTGATTGGCTTACGTCTCTCGGTATAAATACCCAACGCCTCGTCAGTTTTTTAGATCTACATGTTTCCTTGCATTATCTCGCCGATCCAACCTACCCAATCTCAGTACAACACAACTACAAGATCTCTCATTTGGGTCTGTTTAACCCAATTGATGTGAACAGAACATGCAATGACATCCCTCGTATTATGCCTAACCTATGCATTTGCCGTAACTTTGAAACGCCTCACAGAAACAACACCAAGCTAAATTTATTTGCTTATTTCGCAATGGGTCAGCTGAACAACGAAATACAAAGACAGTTTCTTCTAAGATCTAAACTAGCCAAGTCTACAGGACAATACTCAGCCAGAGAACAGGGACAAGTTAAAACATTCCAGAAGTGTGAGAGGCTTGAGCTTCAGCGTGTTGAAAACTTAAGGAGCAGCTATGGAGAGGTGCTTATAGTTTTTTAAATTACTTCATTAATTTCAGATTTATAATTATTTGATTGATTTATTATTCAATCAAGAGTTGTTATTACCTTTTGACCTAGCAGTCCATAGGACAGATGAAGTAGAGTTTGCAAGTTTCTTTGGCCTTGACATATGAAGGGATGGTGTGGACAGCTCTATGCCCAGCTGCCTTTACTTTCCCTAACGTGAGTCAGGTACCCATCAAAGCTCGGTGGACTCTGGGGCTTTCTAGTGTGGTCAGCACTATGCCCAGCTGCCTATACTTTCCCTAACGTGAGTCAGGTACCCATCAAAGCTCGGTAAACTCTGGGGCTTTCTAGTTACTCGAGCATGGGATTCAAACTCAAAAGTTTCAGCTTGGCAGTTGTGCTTTCTACTTTCAGACCACATGCATCCCACTCAATGGGACTGGTGCCTGTCAAACAGATACTGGACATGGGTTGGGGGGGGGGAGGGAGCTGCTGGGTATTGTAGTGGCAACAAAAATGGCTCTTGGTGCTTTCTGCTTCAACTTGCTTGTCAGTTGGAAAGGGCATCTTCATCAACGATTATAGATATAATAATTTTTTTTAAATGGATGCTACTATGTTTACTATATATGTTTAACTCCTAAAATAACTTACATCATTTAAACTATCAAATTCTAAAATTACAGAATGGATCTCATATACTGAAGATGGATTTAGTTGTCCAGAAATCCGAAGTGTTTTTTGTAGCCGTGACCATAAAGGAGAGCTCGGGTAGTCAGGGTGGCCCCAGGGTGAGCCTGGAGATGTACGACCGCATCACCCCCTACAGCAAGTTCTCCCCATGTGCAGATGACGTAGATCTAGCACTTTGCATCTGTGATATTTCTAAACCAGTTGTAAGCTCAAATGACCAAGTGCCAAAAATTCCAGACTATGCAAGTTTGAAGCTGATTCCAGATTTCCAAATGCAGGTGACGCAGTTAGAGTCAGACTCCATGTGTTTGGTTCTTGTCACGGTCAAACACGCCCACGGAGCTGTCATGTGTATTGCCAACACTTGCAGTGACCTGGGTTTTAACGTAGCAGCTTCTATAAAGGCCAAGGACGATATTGTGTACTTCACACCTACCACCACCATTGTTGTTTTACCCGGGGGAATGGTTGTGGTTGGTTTTATTTATAATGACAGAAATTCTGATTGGACGAGCTCTTTATCATTTCATAGCGTTGTTGCTGACAGTTTTTAAACTGTTGGAAACTGTTTTAAGTTATGCGGGTTTATATCTTTTATAACACTGGGGCTACATTGTTTTTAATTGGATAATTTTTTTGTGAAGGTTAAACATGGGCATTTTAACAAGGGTTAGTGATCTGGGAAAAATAATTTTTATTTTGACTGAGCTTTATTTTCATGAGCTATTACTTAAGGTTTTTATATCCATTTTTCTGAGGGTGAGGTTTGTGGTCAAATTTAACACAATTTTGTCCAATGGTGCAATTTTATTCAAATTTCTAGATACTTGAATCTTCAGTGACATTCCAAGAATATCTATTCTAAAGTCTAATAAGTTATAGATTTATTCATTAACATTTAATTTAATAAAGATTACTATATTCATTAACTTAAAAGGGGAATAACTATGTAATGGTGATGGGATTATTGGTGTTCACATATGTTTACAAATGTCAGACCCAATAAGAACACTAACACAGAGAAAATAATTGTCATTTAGTTGGAGGTAATGTATCAAGAGATATTGATGGTCTTTTTAAAACTGAAATATTGACTTACTTTTTTATTTTTTACAATTTTAGACACAAAAAAATGTTTTTAAAAACTTGTGTGGCAACAAGCTTTCACTATTGTGTCAAAATAAAGAAGTGTTTTTAATTTTCTTTTATTTAAATGTATTTTAAAAGCTTGTTTATACAAAGGTTTATATATATTTTTTATTATATATCATGTTAACTATCAAACTCAACAGCTCATTAATGCAGCAGTGTTTGCTAAAATGGGGTAAATAATCAACAATAATAGAACAAGATTTTCATACTTATAATATTCTAAAAACATATCTAGAACAACCAGGGTATACATAATAATAATTCATTCATAAAAAGCTGCCCATTCATAAGTGTTTTGACCTTTTTCCAATGGTAAAGTTTATTAAACTCTTTTGAGGTTTCTAAATACCTCAGTTATTTAAACTAAGTATATGGTTTTTACTGATGGTCTGATGAATAGTTCATATGATGGTGATATATTTCACTAATGTACTTATTCTAAATAAATCAGTTATTGAAATACATTTTAATCTTCGCACTGTTCGGTTTTTACTGATGGCCTGATGTATAATTAACATATTTGTGATATATATTACACTAATACACCTACTTGGAACTATATTGTGTTAGTTGTATTGATGTATTAAGATAATCATTTCATAACTACCTTTGTCACTTTCTTGTTGTTTAGAGTTAGTATTTTCAATGTTAGGTTCACACACTCTTCTTTATCATGTCACAACCTCTAAAATTATAAACCAATTAGAAATATTTTATTTATTCATTTCCCTACTGACAATGGAAATAATCCAAATTGTGTTCAGTTATTTTTTTTTTCAAATTGACTAAAAACATTATAAAATGACTAAGTTGAATGTGCAATGACCATTCATACATTGCTTTTGCGTTAAACTATTTTAGAAAAAAACTATTTAATTGTAGTGTATATTTAAATTAAGTCACTAATTACAAGTGTGCAAATAATGTTTTGCATTGAGGTGTTATATGTTGATTAGGGAATAATTTGTGTAAAACACCATGTTTAATAATGATAATCAAGTGCATATTTACAGTTTGTTATTTATTGAAACTGTTATTTGTTGAATAGAATATATATTAATATAATATAGTAACTACTTGATGTTTTGCAAATGTTTTTTTATTGTTGATTAGATGTTATTTAAATTAAAATATATTTTTATGTTTTGAAAAAAACATTTGTTTTAATTTCATGTTTCCTCTTCAAATTTAACTGAGAAGTTTTATATTTCTTTCTATATGGTGTGAAAATACTATAGGTTCTTTACTGACTTTGTCGAACACATTTATTTTTACTTGTACTGCAACTCAAGACTAAAGGGTCTCACAAAAATTTCATAACTTATTTTAAGTTAACTTAATAACAGGAAAAGAAAGCAATATTTTCTAAAAGATCTTTTAAATTATTTTTATTTTCATTTTAGTTATAAAACATCAATAAAAGGACAATAACAAATTTGTATCATACAAGTAATGTTGATTTTATCATGCACAACATGGAAACAGTTGAAAATTAAGCCTCAAAGAAGCAAATTAAGATATAAATATGACACAATCAGATCTGCTGCATTTGAAGTTACCACAAATAAGTTATACTTAGTCCTTGTTCAGGTAATGGCGATTTTATACACAACACAAGCATTCTGTGAAATAATTTGTTTTTAAATGAAAACATTAGCAAACTTCACTATTTCATAGTGAACACTATTTCATAGTGGACAATTGTGTGAGGGCTATTGAATTAAATATATGAAACTCATCTTTGTACAAATATCACATTCAAGTATTTTAAGGGCGGTTTTGTAACTGGAATGTCGTTCACTTTGATCAAAGGTCATTAAATTTTAAGAATACATAGGACGGTTTTCTATTACATAAATAACAATATAAAAATTGTAACAGAATAATGGTTAACCATTACTACAAAGTTCAGTACTAAAAATAACTGCTTTGCAAGGAGTTGCTTTTTTAACTTTAAGAAAGAGAACTCACCAGTAGCAAATAGGTTTTACGACTAAGGGAAATAACAAATGCAAGAATTTAACAAGTCTTAAGCTGAATATGTCTTTTTACGCTGGATTTGTTTATTCTAGATATTGATATTTTTACAATGTACAGAATCTTTTTTTTATTCTAGTTTTTTTTTTTTTATTAAATCAAAAGAATTATTTTTATAATTTAAAAAAATTGTTTTGTAGTAGACATTGAATTTTTAAAACAGAAATTCCAATTAGGAGCAGTTCTCAAAGAAAGCAAGTAAAGCATCAAGGTCATAACTGTCCAGTAGTTCCAACAGGGAGGGGACTTTGCTTTTCACATTCTGACCTTTGAACTTGTATTTGTCTATAAATAAATCTGTTATCATTCCTGGAGAAACAGATGAGAATTTATCTAACATCCACTTATTAATTGCTAGTAAAATATAAGTGACATACAGACAAAATTAGGTAAAAATTTAGCTTTTTTTTTAAAGTAGATAATTATGTGGAGCCTTAATTTTTTTTAAATTTCCTTTTCAGTTTAAAAAAAAAAAAAGTTTTGTGAATAAATGCTCTAACTGTTAGAGCATTTTTGCTGACTATTTTTTCAATCTGGCTGTATCCCTATATTATCACTGTACACACAGTCAGAGCTAAAGAGAACGGGTTTCTGTAAAAAGAAAAATTCAAACCTTACCATACAATCGTTCCAAGTGGCAGGGCTGTTTCTTGAACTCTTCTTTCAGCTGCTCTGACTCTTTCAGGATGCTCTCATACTCTGGCGCCATGAAACTTAGATCAGTCTCATTCACCTGTAGCTCCTGAAAGCAGAGAGATATTAAATCAATTTTTATTAGACCTGTACTAGTTTACAGCAAGCTACTTAGATGCACCAAAATTTAAATTAAAATATTAGAAAACTTGTATATTAATATTTGATACATGTCCAGCAACTGATTAGACCCACAGTTCTGAAAAACATGTTTGCATGGTACAGAGATATAAAGTGAGGTCAACAATTGCTTCAAGTACTCTAAAGAAATATGGGGCTTCATGGCCTAGTGGTAAAGGGCTAGACGGCTAACCCAAAAGTTTCAAGTTAGAATCTGGGTTCAAGTATGTAGAACATCCTTCAGTCTACACTTCAGATCTAACTATGATGGGAAAGTAAAGGTGCTGGGCATAGTGCTGAACATACTTTCCCTTCATATGCCAAGATCAAGAAACATGAACTCTAGGTCTGAAGAGGAATCTTTTTCTTTACTAAAAAGAAAAGTTCATAAAGTTTGAGACGGTCAAACCAAACTTCAGAGCATTTATTAGCTGAACAATTAAACTAATAAATTATCCAGTTAGTTCACGAAAAAAAAAAAATTAAACCAACCTTAAGAGCATCAATTAGTTGAACTTTCTTAGCCAGCAAAAGCTGATATTCAAGTTTGGGGTGAATCATCTTTAATGTGTAAGGAACTGATTCATCATTCACCTCTGGATATAAATAAAAAAAATTGATTTAAAAAGAATAAAATAACAGAAACAGATATTTGAATTAATATAATAAATGTATTAATAAATCAATATAGTTAAATTAGATTTTAAAAATAAAGTTAATATTTAGCCTGAAAGTCAAATATTTAAAGCAGCCTAGAACCTACCATAAGATATATCTAATCTTATTTTCTTCTTAGTGGCTTCCTTGGACAGAATGTCCTTCAAAATGGAGATGGTAGAAATGTTGTCAGATCTAAAAGTCGCCTCTCCTTTCCTGAAATTATTTTATTTTAAACTTGCAGAATAAAAACTGGTACAGGATACAACTTTTAAACCAATAAGACTATAATACAATCAAAAAATTGTCTGTGATGTTTTGGACTGTACCTGTATGTGCAATCTAGCTGTGTGTCCAGAAATGTGGAGCTAAACTGAAAACTGGCCAAATCTCCAGCTGGAGGCTTTTCTGGCAACTCAGGCAGACAGAAGAAGAGCCAGGAGTGAATTTCTGTCAAGCTGAACTGGCCTTTAAGTGTTAATGTATTGTGGGGTCTGGTGACAAAAAAAAAAAGCTGTATTCAACTATGTTCTAAGGTTCATTATGATTCATTACTCTTTATACATCTATATTTTACAGTGCCTAATTACTAAGTGTTTTTCATACCAAGTTAATTTTTTTAAGAAAAAAAATTATAATTTAACTAAATAAATGTCACACAGAATTGTTAATAGGATATGTATTATTTTTAAACTATAGCCTATTCAAGGTTAAATATTTGCCTAAATCTTTTCCCAAAGAAAATGTAAAAAAAAAAAAACTTAGATATTTAACATAAACACATGGAGAAATCAACTGCTATGTTCTACAAATCATCTTACCTGTCATTTACATCAACTTGCTATCATTTACATCAACCAATCTATCAGTTACACCAACCCATCTATCATTTACATCAACTCACCTATTCTTTACATCAAGTCAACTTCCATTTACATCAATCCACCTGTCATGTACACTAACTTACCGGTCATTTACACCAAATCACCTGTCACTTACACCAACTCACCTGTTCTCATCAAAGACATGTGTTCGCTGGTGCAGTGAGAGAGGTTTGATTGGGTAAAACTTGAGCTGACAGGTTTTGGGCTGAATACGTGGTGTGATGTAGACCTGCAAGGTCCCGTACTGGCCCTCAATGGAGCGTATCTTTACCTCCAGTCTGGTCGTATTAGCTTGACAACGATAGGTGGCTAGAAGAAAATTTCCCTCCTGTTGAGACAAGTCAATTAATTATTCTGTTACTTGTGTAGCAAAATTTTTAAGTTAACTAAAGGTCTATGTGTAAAATGTTGTATTCCTGATGCCAGATACTACACATCAAGCAAAGAATAACCCTTTCACTAAACTGAATATTATTAATTTATAAAATATAACCATAATTTTTAAAAATAAAAAATGTGTCTTACTTCAGGGTTACATGCAGAAAAACTGACAACTGCTGAATTTTTATCTACATCTAGTAAGTCTACAGGGACATCACTCTGGTAAAAAAAGTCAAAAATGTAAATAAAGGGGACAGCACTCTGGTTTAAAAATTGGGGGGGGGGGGGGGAAATATTCACTTATAAAAATTAATAGAAATAAATAAGATTGATAGTATTATATATATTTTAAATTACCTTTTAAGTCATTTGGAACCATGGTTTTAATGGAAAAAAAATTAAAATATTAGCCACAGACCTGTAATAGGACATTATCTATTGGAGACTGCAACTCTAAACACAGAGAGTAACTGGCATCATCTTTGTTCAGGACAAACTTATCATTGATAGGGAAGATGGGCACAGCTGAGACAGCAGTTTTTGAAGTAGCTGTTTGCTGATATTTTTCTCTTTCCTCTGACACTTTCTGCTGCAGGCCTTCAAGTTCAGATCTTACCAAAATATTTGGGTAAACAAACAACATGTTCAGTGTTCAAGGCAACAGAAGATGATCTCTAATCACACATCAAGAAAATAATGCAAAATTACATCAACAATTGCTTTAAATATTTCAGTCTAATGGTCTAATAACAGAAACATTGAGAATGTTACAATAATGTATGTGAAACAATAGTAAATTAAATTTTTTTACAGGGCCTCCCCTCCTATTTAATACTTAAAATTATTTCATTTAAATGGACTAATCTTTCTTTTTAGACTTTACTTGTAATTATGTCATTTTAAGACTAATAGAGTAGTACTTTCAGAGTGAGTTGAGCAATACTTTAATGAAGACTGAGGCTCAGAGTCCACCTGTGAGACTTGAGACAAATATTAAAGGAGTGTGCCAAGTTAACATTTGTTTTCATTGTTCTATCTCAAAAAAATGTTACTGTTTGGATATTTTAAAGCAGAATTAATTCATAAAGTAGAGACGGCCTGGTTGGATGGTAGAAAGCATTTCTTGTAATCCAAAAGCCTCGAGTTCAGATCCCAGCTCACCCAGATATGATGAGTACCTGATTCACATTAAGGAAAGTAAAGGCAGCCGGGTATAGTGCTGACCATACCATCCCTTCATCTGCCAAGGTCACAGAAACAGACAGCCTCTACTTCATCTTCCCAGTGGACCACCCGAGTTAACATTGTTAACTTAACTTTTTTTTATTTATAAAATGACTCTATACTAAAAATCAAAAGGTTGCTAACCCCTGATCTAGGATATTAGCATGCCGTAAGAATGCATTAGACAAGCATGGGTTAGACTGTGGTTAGTTCTACATCAAAGATTGAAAGAGAAAGTGTAACAAATCACCTACTAACCTTCTACAAAGACCACATAACTGTTACAGAATAAAAACCTACTTGAGGTTGCCTATTTTGGCTACAGCAGCTGCGTTAGCTGCGATGTGCTGGGGACCCGCCTCCTTGGTGAGGTGCTCGGTGGTTAGAGCAAAGACCCAGCCTGTGAGAACCAACACCGTTAAGCTCAGCATGCAGTTAGTTAGGTGTTAGTGAGATCTGTTGGGTGCTGGGTCTGATGGGGTTTACTGTTGGTTGGTGGGTAGGTGCTTGACTTGTAGACAGTAGGGACTTGTGTGTGGCCAATTATGTGTGGGAAGTGGTCAGTGGTCAATTTCATGTTAGGAGTGGTCAATTGGCAACCATGTGTTGGGAAATGGCAGTGGGCTAGTACATGTTGGGAGTGGGCAGTGGTCAATAACATTTAGGGAGTGGGCACTTACTTGTAGACAGAAAGCAGTTATAAAGAGTTACATATAATAATTTACTAGTGGTGATTTACTTTAGTATAATTAGGAATACCAACAATTATAACCTTTAACCTGAGAATAAAATTACCATGCATTGTCCTATTTCTTAAAATAAGTTTGCTCACTAGAAATTATTTTCTAAATGTAAGTAATGTTATGTGTGCACCTAATTTGTTTTTATCTTACAAAATACAGTGGTGTCATTAAAATAATTATTACATAAACGCTATAGTAGCTATAAATATAGATAAAACTATAACCTATTATGTTTTAGTCCCTTAGCTGAAGTTTAGCCATTACCTCAACATAAGAAATATTGAATTAATTCCCTTTAGCAACAGAGCAATAAGCAACTACCTCCTTGTAAAATGTGTTAAAGACAAAGCATTAGTGACATGCTTTGAATGCTTTTCTTGGTTTACAATAGAACAAAGAATAAATGTTAACATGAAACAAAAGAATTTTAGACATTTTATGAATTTACACATGCCCTTAAAATATTTGTTTATTTAAAAACATAAAATGTGTTAACACATTTTAAATAACAAAATTCCAATCAACTTGTAGATTTTTAAAAATCTGGCCAAAATTTCAACTTAAAAATGTACAACATTACAAATGCCAGATAGTCAAGAACCGAAATGTACTTTTGGGCATTTGTGTTTTAATAAAATAAAGACAAGCAAGCATGTTGTCTATGTCTACATTTAAGGTGTAAGATACCATAAGCAAACCTAACCAGTTTAAATAACTAATTTGTCTAATATTGTGTTCTGACAGACAAGCATGTTTTAGCATTAGAAAGTTTGTATCCACCTCACTGTGTGGCATGCAGATTAGTTTAAATTCCCTGCATACTTCAAATTACAATCATCAGTTACCTCAGTTTTTTTATAACTGCCACACCCTCTTTGGTAAAGCCATGTTTCAAGGGTTCGCTCAATGGCTTTTTACTTAAACCAAACAAGGACCCTGCGAGTGATCAACTAGAAAAATTATTTCCATCCCCCAAACTCATAATTTTTTTATTTAATTACATAGTTTGTTCAGTGACAATGAAAAAGCAATATGACTGAAGAGCAGTTAAAAATTATTAAATAAAGTAAATTACTTATATAATATTTAACTTTATTTAATAATATGTCAACTGTCTTTATATATTCTGCAAAACCTTTTAAGTAAAAAAAAACAACAACTGTTTTAATAAGCCTAATTAAAAACTATTCCATAAAACCACAACTGTAAAGATAGTATCAAGATCAGTTTAATAATCAATTTCTAAAAATAAATATGTCTGTGAGATAGGCCTTATATAATAACTCATTAATTAAAAGAGTATTTGCAAACATTATATAATTTGTTGTTTTTTATGGCAGTAACTAGGCCCTAATTAATTTTTTTTTTTATTTTCCTACTACCATACTAGATCTAGTATTTCTACATTTAAAGTGATATTTTTCAACAATTTAGTCATTAGAAATTGTTATAAAATTTCAAACCTATCACTCATAATTATTTTATAGTTATATACAATGTGATGACAAACTCACCAGCATAAGTTGAACAAACAATTTCATCATAGTTAGCAGAGGCCACAATTCCACCTTTAACAGATGTGATGCTCTCATTTCCTGTCTGAAAGAATAAAAATCAGGAGTGTGTAAACAATAATCCACAGAACAATCTGTTTTAGAACTAGTTGGGCATTTGTTGGTGTTAGTTCACAACAGCTTTCCAGTCAGACTTTTAAAATTCTATTTTAAATGGATCAATCTCTTCAGTTAAAAATAGTTTTAGTCATCCAACAATGTAAACTGAACATCAGTTCATAGGGATAATTATAACTTAACTTGTAGTAATAACAACACTCATAGGGGTAATTTTAGTTTAAAATGTAGTAATCACAGCAAGCACACAAACTTAATCTTAGCTAATGCCAGAAATGTAGCTTTTGTTACACTTACAGCATTATAGCTAGACATGTAATTATAGCTAGACTAGCAGCTACATTAATTGCTAGGCTTACATAATTGTAGCGAAAGACTGGCTAATATAGATAGACTCTAAGCTATAGCTATAACTAGGCTTACATAATTGTAGCGAAAGACTGGCTCATCCGTGTCATCATAACTGTACACCTCCACCTGTCCGTCATCACGTCCCACTATGAGGTCAAGGACACCATCTGCTGTGATGTCATAACTATCCAAACAAAGTATTCCTACAAAAGATAAAAAATTAATTTCTCCATACCATTTTCAAAGATATTAAAGTGTTTAATTTTTTAAATTCATATTTTTTTCTTCCATGCTTCAATGCTATATTGGATTTCCTCCAATGCAATTAAGAATTACTTGTCAACAAGTTATGTGCCAGATGGTCTGTTAACTCTAGCTACAGCTTGCTTTTCTTACTGGATTTACTTCCATAACCTCTGTCCTGAAATGTGTATTCTATTTATACCAAGATTTAAACTGACTCACCTCCACTTCTTTTTGTGTTGGGGAGTTCCCAGCGATGATTTGGCACCAGTCTACAAATATAATAACTTAGCTGAAATACCTGAACATTGTGGTATAAAAACTATAAAGCTATCACATACAAAACTAACTGGACTCACGACAAGTTTTAACAACTTAATGGTGAATGAGATAAGCAGTTACAACTTCTCTACTGACTGGCTCAAACAACTATGGTTGTAATAAACAATTTTGCTAATCATAGCCCTATGTCTTTGACAACTTGCAATAAGCAACCAAACTACTCACTGGCCAATTTGCATCAACCCAACTCTCCCATCAGAAGTTCCATATAAAATTTCATTGCCTTCATCACCTGAAAAATGGAATTGTATCAGCTTTAATAGAAGTGCTAAATAACTACCTGAGTGAATTGACCAATATCAAAACGATAAGATTTTTCATCAAAAGATACCTTTGCATTATACCTCCTCCTTTCTCCATTTGCTTAACTTTGTCCAATTATTATTAATTATTCAAACTTTCTCTATTATGCTTTACTACAATTCCTGGCACTAGACAATATACATTTTTATAGTGGGAAGTGAAAAAAATAATATCTTTAAAAAATAAATTCGAGTTGGACATTAAAAAAATTTTAACTTCAAAAAAATATAATGTGTAAATCACTGAGACAGTTATAGGCTGATATAGATATTTGTTATAAACATATGAACTAACAATGACGGTGCTACAATTGCTGTTGGTTAATACTGAAGTTTCCTACCTCCTGTGTTACCAAACAGCTCCATCACAACCGGTGGCCCAGGAACCTCAGCTTCATACAACAGTTCAGAGTCCTTCAGTGACGGGACATTTTATGTTTTAGAATTGGTGAAAGTTAATTAATGCAGAATACAATAATGGGAAGCTTTGTTTTAGAATTGGTGAAACTTAATTAATTAATGTAAAATACTTGAGATTTTAAAAATCAACTTTGATAGCCCATATAAAAAGGTATAATGTGCCCTATCAAATCTGTCCTCAGGTGAGTATGAGTTTACCTGTTTCTCTGAACTCTGACAACCACATTAAAAACTTACCTTTAGGACCCTGAGTACCAAATTAAAAACTTACCTTTAAGACCATGAGACTACATAAAAACTCACCTTTAGGACCCTAAGGACCTATTAAAAACTTACCTTTAGGACCTCATTAAAAACTTACCTTTAGGACCAAATTAAAAACTCACCTTTAGGACCCTGAGGACCTCATTAAAAACTCACCTTTAGGACCTCATTAAAAACTCACCTTTAGGACCTCATTAAAAACTCACCTTTAGGACCTCATTAAAAACTCACCTTTAGGACCCTGAGGACCTCATTAAAAACTCACCTTTAGGACCCTGAGTACCACATTAAAAACTTACCTTTAGGACCTCATTAAAAACTCACCTTTAGGACCCTGAGTACCACATTAAAAACTTACCTTTAGGACCTCATTAAAAACTTACCTTTAGGACCCTGAGTACCACATTAAAAACTTACCTTTAGGACCTCATTAAAAACTCACCTTTAGGACCCTGAGTACCACATTAAAAACTTACCTTTAGGACCTCATTAAAAACTCACCTTTAGGACCCTGAGGACCTCATTAAAAACTTACCTTTAGGACCTCATTAAAAACTCACCTTTAGGACCCTGAGTACCACATTAAAAACTTACCTTTAGGACCTCATTAAAAACTCACCTTTAGGACCCTGAGGACCTCATTAAAAACTTACCTTTAGGACCTCATTAAAAACTCACCTTTAGGACCCTGAGTACCACATTAAAAACTTACCTTTAGGACCTCATTAAAAACTCACCTTTAGGACCCTGCGGACCACATTAAAAACTTACCTTTAGGACCCTGAGGACCCTGTCCTTGCAGGCCAGCACTGGAGTGACTGTGCCCATTTTATCAGCTGGCAAACACACAACGTCATTGATCTGGTCACTGCTCAGGTAGAAGTTCAGATCTTTACAATCTCTGTAGTGGTTGAAGGCAAAGTTCCCACATGCAAAGAGGTCTGTGCCCTCAACATAGCTGGGGAAATATCATTTCACTTAGTGAAAGTACTCAAACCCTTGTAGTCTTTGTTCAATACAGATGGGAACTTCTGATTTTCCCACGTTTTCTTTAACTTGCTTTCGCGTCTGTTTGTTTGGTTCTCCAATCAAATCTTGCGATCGATATTTCGGGCATTTCCCAGTTAGCTAGCGCTTTGAAATTTTCAGGGAAGCTTTGTTTCCGATGACCATAGAATATTCAATTGTTATTATTACTAAATTGATCCATGGAAACATTTTGTTGAGCATTTTAGACCGCTATATAATTGTAGTAAAAACGTGGGGAAAAGGGGACATAACCCAGTAACTGTAATTTGATGAAAACAAAATTCGGTACTTTCCCACTTTTTACTGAGTAGTGTTCACGCTGTGGTAACAACTGGTGGCCAGTATGGGGGAGACGATATGGTCGAGTGGTTGGGCACACGATTGAAAAGGGGACATAACCCAGTAACTGTAATTTGATGAAAACAAGGTTCGGTACTCTCCCTCTTTGCTTACTGAGTAGTGTTCACGCGGTGTTTGTGTACAAACAACCGTAACAACTGGTGGCCAGAATGGGGGAGACGATATGGTCGAGTGGTTGGGCACACGATTGCTATCCCACTCGACACGGGTTCAAATCTATGTGTTCTAGTCAGTAACGTATTCACACAACGTGTTTTTTACGAGTTGTCTTTTTACGAGTTGTCTTCGTTTACCCAAAAAAAAAGTGAAAAGATAAAATCGATAGCAAGATTTTAATGCAAACAAACAGACAAAGACTAAAAAATAGAAAATAATAATCATTAAAAAAGTTTTTAAAAACCCACGTTTTCTGAATGAACTAAAAAGTAGAAAATAAATGCTATACATCACAATAATGCAAGCGATCACTCTACTATAAGCGATCAAAAACGTGGGACGCCGTGATTTTCTTACAGTTTCTAATACTGTTGACTCTCTACAAGCTCCCTAATAAAAGTCAATAGTATTATCTAATCAATAGTAATATAACTTTTACTTAGGCGCCCCACGTTTTTCATCGCTTATAGTAGAGTGATCGCTTGCATTATTGTGATGTATAGCATTTATTTTCTACTTTTTAGTTCATTCAGAAAACGTGGGTTTTTTAAAACTTTTTTAATGATTATTATTACTTGATGAAAATTCTTAAAAATACCAGCACTCTAATCAAACAAGATGACTCAGTGAGTTGAATGACAAGTCAACTTAATTCGTGGAAAAAAAAGAGGGATAATGATAGACTCTAAAAAAGGATACACAACATGCTACTAATAATATCTATAAAGGAATAAGTCTAATAAGACAAAATGACTTAAATGAAATATTAAAATAAGAACTGAAACTGACTGAAATAAAACAAAATGACAGAAAACTAGATGATTTGCCATGACTGATTTTTTTTAAACATAAGCTGAATTGACTGCTTTTTTAAAAGATGACTTAGGTGACAACACTACATGACTTACAATAACTGTACTAAAATTATTTAAATGACAAATTAAATGATTTGCAATGACTGTATTAAAAATGACTTACAGTGACTGTATAGGTTCTGACATGTTGGTGTCAAAGGTCAAGAAATTTTTGCCTTTTTTTGTATAGGCCTTGACCTCCGCCCCACTAGACGCAAAGATGCGGTCCCTAGCTCCCCCAGGCTGACCCCCCAGTACCACATGACTCAGCTTAGACTTGCTGGAAGCTTGAAAAACATCCTGTGGGCAATGCATTTTTAACTAATTGTCACAAACATTTCAACAAAAAATAAATTTAACTACTTAAGATTATAACAATGCTACCAGCATGCAATAATATTTTCTTAATTTAATTCATTGTTATTCAGAATCCAAGTTTTTAATCGTACATTTAGGTCCTGTTATCACCAGACCTGGCATTGTTTTTATTTACTTCTTGTAGGTTTTCCGTTCGGTAGATTTTGTATTTTGTAGAAATTTGTACAGCATTTTTTTAACACTGCTCAATGCATTTAAGTGGCTCTGTCTAAACGTTTATGTCATGAAAATAACCAAAATTATTTATTCTAATACTACACTGATCCATGATTTTCATAGAAAATAGATGTACTTTTGTTTTCAAAACATATAAAAATTCCTAAAAATCAATTCTTATCATTAATTTTACCCACACAAACATTTTTTTCACCATATAAAAAACAACAATAGTTTTTTTTTTCTTTACAGTAATTATCTATCTTCGATAAATAAACAATTGGTTAAAATTATTTTCAGTGAGTAGGGCATTCAATTATGATTAATTTATATAAGTGATGTGTGGGTTTTAAATCAACTTGTTAAAAAAAATCTGAGCTGTTTTGCAGCATGGGTACTGAAAAAAATTGAGTGAAAAAAAAATAATTCCATTGAAACATTAAAATAATTACAGGCTTAAAAAGTTTAAATAAATTTGCATATTTTACTAAAATACTAAAGTTAAATAACTTTACTCATAACAAACATACATAAAACTTGTATAAAATACTTTGACAGACAAAAAAAAATCAAGATGTGTACCTGAACTTGTCCTTTCCTTAAGCCAAAACACCTCAGAGCTCCATCACAGTCCCCTACAACTACCTGGTAGACATTGTAAAAGAAATTCACCTTGATAATAAATTAAATAAATAGCAAAAACAAAGCATTTCTTTCATAAGTGTTATGAAAAAAAATCAACATTAGCCAACCTTTTGGGTTTTACTTGTCATGGGCAGCACCTGCATTGTTTTTGGGCCTGTTATTCCAACCTATTAAAAATAAAACATTTACAAAACAAACTACTAGTTGGTGTGTCAGGTATTTTATTTTTACGAATAAGTAGGGCTGAGTTATTTAAACTAGCATTAATACTAGACGTCAAAGATGAGATATTTAAGTTCATTTATATTGATTTTCTCAATTAAAAAATATTTTTTTAAATTTCTTAAACAAACATAACTTTATTACCCAAATGTGAAAAAAGTACAGAGACTAGGCAACATTTTAAATCACAATGGTATAGAACTAAAATGAGTAGAAATTTCTGATGACAAATCAAAAGTTTAGAACTTAACCAAAATTTGAAATCAATGCAGAACTAAAACAAGCAGAAATTTCTAAGGACACATCATACCTGCAGGTAGTCAACCCGATTAAGATTTAATTCCATCATTTTTTGTGAAGAGGATACGGTCAGTCCTAAGTCTGACTAAACATGGAATATTACATTGTCAGCGATTGTCAAAGAGCTCACACAGCACAAAATTAAAACTAAAAAAATGTGTAGTAAATTGTAAAATAATGTAAAATTACTTAAACTTAAATTAGACCTAGGCTTTTCTGTGTAGTTAAGTATAGTATTAGTCAGTATTGACTATTGACTGTTGAAAGTGTTGATTGATGTGTGATGGAAATTGCTATTGAAATATTGCTAGATTCTAGTAAAAAAATTTAAAATTCAATTGGCCTAGCTCTTAGGCCTAATTATTAATAAAAATAATATTAGGGGCCTAATACACAGTAATAGCCTAATAAATAATTAGATCTAATAAGTAATAGGCATCTAGATCGAAATTAAAATTTGGCTTATTTTCGACTTGTAACAACTTTGTTGTGAAATGATTTGATTGCACATCATAAAGTGTAGGCCTATTGGGAAATTTTTCCTAATTATCATAGAATGATAAAATGGACCCAGATCAATCCTATAATATACCCCATTGATAAAAATATCAAATTTATCATTCTAGGCCTAATAGTTTTTTTTATATGAATTTTCAAAGTTATGTGTTTAACTTGTTATGTTTCATTGTAACCTGCATTCCAGACGTGTGATTGGCTTTAAACTTGCATACCAATGTTGCTATGAAAGATATAATGATAAAACTTTGCACATTTGTACTCAATGATATAGGCAATAGAAGTCTACAAATAAAATAAAAATTAGAAAAGAGATAACTAGAAATAATGAAGTTAAATTAAGGGGTGTGGCACTGTTCTATAGTGACTGCCATAAGAGGATTTCCAGACTGCACAGCTAGGTTGCTATTCCATATACCATCATGAAACTTTATATATTAGGACTAGAGCATGTAAAAAATACAATCATGCAAGTAAAATAAACATAGCTAGAGGAAAACTATAAATAGTGAACTTGAATATGGTACAGCGCAATTAGACTATGATGATTAACTACAGGCTAATATGTTGCACTTCTTTGTTGTTACTATAAAAATAAAGATTAAACTTTACATATTGATTCTGGTGTTAGTAATAAGAGTGCTAGTATACATATTGTACAGGTAATGTATAGAGTTAGAACTTACAAGTCAATTACAGCACAATATGATCAAGATACTTAACGATTTGCCATAAACATTGGATTTGTGTTCGTGTATAACAAGGTAAAATTGTTATTATTAATTTAGAAAATTTTGGTTCTTGTAATGTTTCTGATGAAAAGTGTTGAGGTGTGCTAAAACTCAAAGATTGACATTTCACAGTATTCTTATTTATAAAATGTTTAGTGAAGTTGACGTATCCTTTGATAAATTCTTAAATGACATTAATTAAAGTGTTCATGTTTTCTTTCTATTATAGTTGCCTATAACTAAAACTGTAATGCAGTGCAGCTTATAAAATTGGGCATTATTATTTTTAATTTAGGCCCTTTATAGTACTTTATAGATCTAGATACTACAGATAGGCCTGTCAGTATTTACATTAAGGCCTAATAGTTTATATATATATATATAGGCCTATATATATATATATATATATATATATATATATATATATATATATATATATATATATATATATATATATATATATATATATAGGCCCTATATATTATTACACATCTCTAGACCCATTATTGTTTTAGTGTTTTCATTTCCATATAGATCTAGATCTAGATTCTAATTTTTTTTAAACTGTTTATAATAAATATAGATTTTTTCTACTTGAAAATGCCTTTATATTACTTTATAATCTATTTATCTGCAATTCGTTAATGCTAGTTTACTAGATCTAGTTAACCTGGTATTAAGAAGGTTAATAAAAATCTGGCTAATTTAAAATTTTATAATTTATTTAGGCAGCAATTAGGCCTAATTACATTCTTTCCATTTTTAATCTAATAATTTAGATCTACAGTATATTTATTTTAAAGCCCATTTTATTGTAACAGTCCATTTAAAAACAAACAGCTGTTAAAAAACATCGTATGCGCATATCTATTAATATCTCGTAACCCGGCCGCCATTATGAAATTACGCACGCTTTCTCGTTCCTACCCCTACGAGTTTTATCGCGCTACTCCTCATTGGCCCATGCTTAAAAACCCTTCAAATCGACATTTCTATTTATCCAAATGGTTGGCATGCTATTTAAGCCTATTTTCATGCAACTTAAAGGATTATTTATATCTGAAATTTAGTTGTCAATGCGCCAGTTCGGTAGCGTCGGCATTTCGACAAATATTTGCTATTATCGGTGATCGCTTTCGGTATCGGACAATGTAAAACGGGAGCTAATTCATTTATTAGTATGTATAAAAGATGAAATTCAACTCAAATATTCACATCGAATACATTTTATTCTTCGATTCAGATGGCGAGAATTAACATGTTAAAAAATGGCGAATTTCAACAAGTACGATGAAAAAGTCAGGATGTGGTCGTACCGAATCGAAACAGCGGAAGTCGAAATGCCTAATAAAGTGAAAATTACGTTCCTAAGCCAAGCTTAAGAAATTATGCTAATTTTAATTAGTTAATTAGGCCGTACCTGACACCTAAAGCGCACAAAACTTTAGTGCTGCAGTAGATTCCTAACCTAGAATCTAGATTTATATTATAAATTATATCTTAGATCTGATTAGTCCGGTTACCAATAAAAACAAATGGAAATATTTCAACGATTACTGTAAATACCGACATCTGTCATATATTTTAAAACGTAGTCTGACCGATCTTTAAGAAAATCTAGAATGTAACGTAGTTAAATTATTATGTGATTAGTCCTGCAAATGGCTGGAATATGTCTATTTAGTAGCTCTATTCTAACTATTCTAGTTTATAAGTAATAATATGTTTTGCTTTCACTATGCCGTATTTAAATTCTAACTCTTTTTATTAATTATTAATAAGACAAATATTGGCAAATAACGCATTAGGAGACACACTTTGGTACACCAACATACGAGATTTTTAGATACGAGCTATTGAGCGAGCTAAAATTTGCTTTGTCGTACGAGCAAAATTTGATGTACAAGCAACCGTGCTTGGAAAAGAAACAGCCCGAAAAAGCTCCAACTGATAGTGCATCGGAGCTATTTAAATAATGACATTTACCTAACTCATTTCCTCCAACATTCTGAATTGGAGGGGAAAAAAAAAACTTTTTTTACGGCCAGCGTGGGAAAGTGTGAAAAGTGAGGAAAGCATGGCGGAAAAATAAGCATTTGCCAGTGAACAGAAAAGCTGTGATGAAAATTAAACGAAAGTAACAAAACATTATGAAATAGCATTTTGGTTCAATTATGTTCGACGAAGTTTCAGTTCCGTTAAATTTAGGGATAAAGTGTAATGTTAAGAGTGTAACGAATGCAAGAATTAAAGCGACCGAAAGAAATAAAGCTCCTACTCCTATGTTCTCCACCCTACATTGGGAGTACACCTCAACCAGATGCAATACCTTGCCGTGATGTGACAGCTTACGTGCTGCGATGACCCTCAAACCTATGCCGGCAGGTCCAACCAAGCCAGATAGGTATATTGGGGAAGGGGCCAGCAGTGTTTCTTCCAGACTTTATTCTTCGGGTGTTGGGGGGGGGGCACAGTGTTTCATTCAGAGGGGGCATTTGAAACTTTCGGAGGGGCGGACTAAATTTTCGGGGGGGGGGGGGGGGGGGAGTAAAAGTATATATTAATCTCGAAGAGAAGAGATCAGAGTTTCTTCCAGGCATCTCTTCGGACGCCCCCCCCCCCCCCGAACGAAATGAAATTTATATAATTTATATAGAAAATATATACTTTTAACAGTGTCCGCCCCCCCCCCCCCCGAAGAAAGTTTACCGCCCCCCCCCCCCCCCCCCCCCCCGAAGATTTCAAGTGCCCCCCCTGAGAAATAAGTCTGGAAGAAACACTGGAAGAGATGCCTGAAATAAACACTGTAGGAGATTAATGAAGGAGATTAATGAAGCTGTGTGGGGAAAGTCAGGTGCATCCTTTAAGGCCGACAACTCTGCTCAGGAGACTGAAAGGATATGAAGAAATAAAGAACAGCTGAAAAGGGTGGCAGGAGACAGCAGAGAGTAACATTTTTTTAACAGAAGCCCTATGCTCCACAACGAAATTAGAGCAAAAATGATGTGATGATGAGTGGTCTGTCGGCCCCCCCCCCCAATCCCCAGAACGTTTAAGCCCCCCCCCCCCCCTCTCATCCTCGGAAATTTCGAAATCCCCCTGCTCCTCCCAGAAAGAAAATGTCTTAAACACTGAATCCAATATATTCTAGCAGTAGAAAATCCGCTTAGCTATACAGTGCCCCTTCTTTTTCCCAATTATCTCGAACCTGTTTGGCTTCAGGTTTCCAAGCTTAAAAGTTGGCTCAGTGTAAACCAAGTATCGAACATGTCAACGTTTTGTGTATCTCTTCACACGTCGGCTCTTTAAAGTTGGGTCCCCCCTCGACCACTTGATTGCTGTACAGTACATTTATAGGCCAGAATCTCCGAGCTGTTAGTTTTTTTCGTCGATATTTTATCACCGATCTGATCGTTTCTGTTTTAATTTGCGGTCGATTTAATTATCTTGCTGGGTTGGCAAGAGCAAGATTTTGTTTGGTGAGTAATTATTCATGTGGGATATTTTGTGTAAACGAACACACAAGGGGGATGCACCTACACGGCTATACGCTTACACACTTACTTACACACTGACTGACTTACGAACACACTCACACCGTTACCAACACTTGCACCTACACCTACACCTACACCTGCACCTACACCTGCACCTGCACCTACACCTACACCCACACCTACACTTACACCTGCACCTACACCCACACCTACACACACACCTACACCTACACCTACACCTACACCTACACCTACACCTGTACACACCTACACCTACACTTGCACCTACACCTAAACCTAAACTTACACCTACACCTGCGCCTACACATGCACCTGCACCTACACCTACACCTACATCTACACTTGCACCGATACCTAAATCTGTACACAACTACACCTACGCCTACACCTCAGAGGCGTAGCGACCCTTCCCGGCGCCCGGGGACAAACTTTTCGATTTGCACCCCCCCCCCCCTCAAGATTTCGATTTGCACCCCCCTCAAACTTTTGATTTGCACCCCCTCGACCTTTCAATTTATTTTTCCAACCCATTTTGGCGCCCCTAAGGTCGGCGCCCGGGGACATATGTCCTCCCCCTCCCTCGCTACGCTACTGCTACTGCTACTGCTACACCTACGCCTACACCTACACCTGTACACACCTACACCTACATACACCTACACCTACACCTACACCAGCAGATACACATACACATACACTACGTTTAACATTCGATAGAACCATTTAGTTAGGCTGACCAGAGATTTTAAAATAAAATTAAATCAACGTCTATTTATTCATCGTCTGCCTAGCAATGCATTGTGAAACTGTTAAGCGCATCAATGTCCTTTTTGTAAGTGACAGAATGTTGACTGGAAATTTAGATCAGCGGTTATCACACTGGGAGGCGGAGCCACGGTCTTGAGCCAGGGGAGAAGCCGAGGGGGAGGAGCCAAAAGTTTATAGGGTTATTGTTTCCCGTTATCTTGTAATATGTAGGCCTACATGAAAATACATCTATAGTATTTGGTTTTTATAAACTATTTATATGAATGGACTCTGATGTCCGTTGTAGAATTGCTTAAAGCAATAGAACTCCGAGATATGGTACTCAATACCCCCGCCCCCCCCCCCCCCCCCCCCCCCCACACACACACTTCCTTCCTAAACCCAGATTACGGGATGATAGATTGATATTTTTTTTAAGTATAGACCTGCATCTCTTGTCCATGGGATGATTAATTTTGTCCTTGCGATATTCTGTCTGGGCAGTGTTTCTTCCAGACTTTTTTCTCCGGCGGGGGGGGGGGGGTCTCACACTTGTAAAAGTATATATTTTCTATATAAATTCCATTTTGTTCGGGGGGGGGGGGGGGGCGGTAGACGTTTTTCGGGGAGCCCCCTCCCTCGAATAGATGCCTGGAAGAAACTCTGTGTCGGGGATATTTTGTCTGAGATATTTTGTCCTAAAATCGTTTGCCCTGAGATCATTTATCATTAACCTATAAACAAACGGCACACCTTTACGTTGTAAAAAGTGTTAGAAACTATTGTAGCCGGGTTTTTTTTTTCTCCGTAGTTAAAATACCTTTATGAAATCTAAAATTAAAAAAAAAATTACCTAATGTTGACCGAAATCAGTAAATATTTTTAGAAAGCAATTGCTATTTGTTTGTTTTTAAAATCCAGTATTGAGGGGGTGGTTGGTAGGATGTGGAGTAATATCATTTTAGGGAGGGGAATTTGACTTTTTTGTTACCATATGTGACAATAGGGAGGTGGAAAGGTAAAATTAGTTCTTAAAAGTGTGAGATTGTGTATAGATAACTCCTAAAGAAAACTTTGGTAAGCTTTGGTTTAGAGATTTAAAATTTCCTAAAGCCAATAATTTTTCTTTAAGTTCTACATTAGGTATGCTACGCCCTTGAATGCATAGTTTTTACAAAATACTCACTAAAGCACACATTAATTGATAATCACATAAATGTCCAAGGAAAATATTTTGAATAAATACGTCACGCAAACAAAATTGAGTACCTGATCGTTTGCCAGCCAATAGAAACACAGTTGATCAGTTGGTGCGGAGATGACAACCTAACCAAAATTGTATTGAATTTCAGATAATTTGTTTCGGATCTTTCAGACCAACTTTTGAAAATGATTAAAACTAGTGTTTTCATTGTTTGTCTAGTTGTCGTGCGATTTTCAGAATGCGGCCAAATGCATCTAAGCTCCGGAGGCAAGTAGTTTACGCTGTTTGTAAAAAGAGTATATTCATACATTTATAAATCGAATAACTTTGCTTTAGCGTTCTACATTTAAGCAAATTCAAAACCGGCAAGTTTTAGGCATTTCCATTAACAAAAAATTCGGTTTAAATAAAATAATTATCGCAAAAACGTTAAAATTAAAATACTTTCCTTATCTTACTGGGGAGCTGAATGATTTTTTGGCGTTCTTTTCAATAGAAAATCCAGCTGAATAAAGTGTAAAACTCTAGAAACTTTAGCCAGAGTATGCAGAACTTTTGTGTAGGCAGCTACTGGGTACACCCTCCCCACCTACCCCATCTTAAATCATTAAAAGAAAACACAAAACCACTCGTTTTTAGATTGTTACTTATTTTAAAATATAATAATCTTTATTATTTGTTCTGATTTTCTGAACCATGTAAGATACCCCATAAAAACATAAAACAAAAAGTATATACCTTGAGGTAGTTAACAATAAAAGTCAGGTAAATTAAAAACTGCAACCATTTCATCACCCCAATCACCAGCTGGCGGCGATGTGTGTGAGGGTGGGAGTAGGATTTGTCTGGCTGGTGATGCCACCTGCATCAACGACAGGTGTGTCTGCAACACCGGCAAAGGAAACGGCAACTTCGCCTGCTACATGCCCAGTGAGTTCTTTGTGGTTGTGTTGTTTTATACGGGTTGTTGTGTTTTCTGGTTGCTGGTGGTGGTAGCAGTATGTAGGTGTGTGGTTGTTGTTGTTGATTGTTTTTGTTGGTAGGTTATTGTTTGGTTATTGTTGTTAGTAGTGTTTGGTTGTCGTTCATTTTGCTGGTTTTCTTGTTGTTGGTGTTGGTAGTGGTTTGGCTGTTGTTGTAGTTCGTAGCAGTTTGGTTATATATATATATATATATATATATATATATATATATATATATATATATATATATATATATATATATATATATATATATATATATATATATATATATATATATATATATATATATATATATATATATATATATATATATATATATATATATGCCATCAGCTTTCGTTTTTCTTCAGATGAGTTTTTCGCCGAGATTAAGAACGACCCTATGGCTATCAGTTTTGCACGTGAAAGGGTTGAGGTACCGATGCCATGTCGTTTTTTGGTGACCCACGTAATCACCGAATTTAAAGATGTTGATGGCACCACACGTGCGGGATCATGCACATTACAGGTGAGGTACAACATGCACATTACAGGTGAGGTACAACATGCACATTACAGGTGAGGTACAACATGCACATTACAGGTGAGGTACAACATGCACATTACAGGTGAGGTACAACATGCACATTACAGGTGAGGTACAACATGCACATTACAGGTGAGGTACAACATGCACATTACAGGTGAGGTACATGCACATTACAGGTGAGGTACAACATGTACATTACAGGTGAGGTACAACATGCACATTACAGGTGAGGTACAACATGCACATTACAGGTGAGGTACAGCATGCACATTACAGGTGAGGTACAGCATGCACATTACAGGTGAGGTACAGCATGCACATTACAGGTGAGGTACAGCATGCACATTACAGGTGAGGTACAACATGCACATTACAGGTGAGGTACAGCATGCACATTACAGGTGAGGTACAGCATGCACATTACAGGTGAGGTACAACATGCACATTACAGGTGAGGTACAACATGCACATTACAGGTGAGGTACAACATGCACATTACAGGTGAGGTACAACATGCACATTACAGGTGAGGTACAACATGCACATTACAGGTGAGGTACAAAATGCACATTACAGGTGAGGTACAACATGCACATTACAGGTGAGGTACAACATGCACATTACAGGTGAGGTACAACATGCACATTACAGGTGAGGTACAACATGCACATTACAGGTGAGGTACAACATGCACATTACAGGTGAGGTACAACATGTACATTACAGGTGAGGTGTAGCATGCACATTTTAGGTGAGGTACAACATGCACATTACAGGTGAGGTACAACATGCACATTACAGGTGAGGTACAACATGCACATTACAGGTGAGGTACAATATGCACATTACAGGTGAGGTACAACATGCACACTACAGGTGAGATACAGCATGCACATTACAGGTGAGGTACAATATGCACATTACAGGTGAGGTACAACATGCTCTATAGGGGTCGACTGCTAACCCCAAATTCTCGAGTTCGGATCCGTTCGGACTAGAGTTCGTAGGACGGCCATGAGTTCTGATGATCCGACTAATGTAAGTAAATGTGGCTGGGAATAGTGTTGAGCACACTACCCATCTTATACCGGAGCCACAAAACAGGTGAACTCTACTTCATCTGTCCCTAGGTAGTTTTACTTACAACATCCTCTTCAGAAAACCTTACAACACCTTAGTAGTGTAAGATTTTAAATTAAGCATTACCGTTTAGTGGCTGGTTAGTTAAGGAGGGTTCTTTTTATCGAATGCCTGAATGACAGGGAAACATTATTGCCGCTGACTATTTCGCGTGAAGTTTCTTCAGCTCAGCTATTTTTAACGGGGGCGATTTGTATAGTTTAGCGGGGGGGGGGGGCGAATTGGCTATTCAGCTAAAATTGGCCTCGAATCTACTAAAACCGCTGCAAAACATACTAATAACCAATAAATGTGCTTAGCAAAATAAATCGACAAAACGCTCTACAAAACAGTATATTCAGTTGTAATTGTCACCCAAGTACGATATAGACACACTTTTATACTCGTGATGTACTTTTCTATTGCTATCTTTACCAACAACTTCTACTATTTTTTTCTAAGGTCTTCAGCTTCAGCTTTAAAGTGAGGGGTAAGTTTTTCATCCAGGGCTTTGACGCCGTTATCGAAGTCACTTCCGACGTAACATCGGAGACAGTCGGAGCCTCGTTTCGAGTAGTCGGCGAATCGTCCTACGGAAATCATCAGGTTACTATAAATAAACTAAGACTAAATTGTGTGTTTTTACTTTCTCGTATATACGTAGTATAGAGAAAGTATTGTAATCGTGCAAAAAAAAAAAATCGAGATTTTTACAAATCTCGACGTTTTACACCTCACTGATACGGAAAAACATAATTTTGCAATCTTGTCCGTATGTCTGTGTGTGTGTGTGTCTGTCCGTGTGTGTGTCTGTCCGTGTGTAAACACGATAACTTGAGTACCGTTATAGCTAGGTTGATGAAATTTCATATATAAGTATTGTATCAAAATCGTAGATCCGTATCAACTTTTGAGCGATTTCCGATAACCGGAAGTGGTACTTTTCCTACTTTGAATTTTTTTAAAGCCTATAACTTGAGTACTATTTCAGATAGATAAATGAAATTTCACATGTAAGTAAAAGATCTAATTCTCTACCTTCTGTTACATTTTGAGTAATTTCCGTTGACTGGAAGTAGTAATTTACGCTACTTCCGATTTCTCAAAAAACTAATGTAAATTTTAAAAGTACTAATAATATTGCGCACTATTATGCGCTTTTTTTATTTGCGTTCACTTGGTGTGCAATTAATTTGTCTACGAGATTTTATTCTATTTTTAAAACTTTAAGTATTTAAAATGGATTAAAAATCATGTCTATAGCCCGAGTTCCCATCCCCTGTTATCCTAATTTATAAAAGGCCATGTGCGCTCTTCTCTCTCTCTCTCTCTCTTTCTCTGTCCGCAAAAAATTTTCGCCGGACATCACGTCAGAATCGGCAGCGGTATATGGAGAACTTTTTACGGACTTTTGTTGAAAATAATATGTTAGATGTTTTAAATGTATAACCACAATTTTACTTAAAGAAGAAAAATAAAAATTAAAGGCGTATTCGAATGTAGAGAAACAGTATTATTTATGCAACCGGAAAAGCATTAATATATGTGAAAAAGAACGCATAAAACTGTGACGTCACTATTGCTTATACATTAACTAATGACGTCATCTGCCGTGTTAAGAATGAAAAGAAATGAACTATTTCATTCAAATTTGATTTAGATCTACGTACACTATGAAATGTATACAATACAATTTTTCCGGCCTAAACTCATAAAATTTATTTTATGTATTTGGATTCTAGATCTAGAGATTCTAGATCTAGACTAAATCTAAATCTAAATCTACGCAATAACTAGATCTAGACGTAGACGCTAAGATCTAGATTTAGACTCTAGCTTCTCTAAAATCAATTCCAAAAATAAATTTCTATATTAGGACTAAACTATTTCAAGACTTATTTATTTTATACAAAATCTTTGTTTGGAACTGGCTAATTTGGGATAAAAAATTAATTTGAAAGAATAGGCATATTCGCGTAAGTTAAGATTTTAAAATACGTGTTTCATTCTCCGTATTTTATAAGGTGCCTAAATAGCGGAGATGTTAGTGTACATTAAACCACGCAGGTGGTGCGGGTTCGAGACACAGCAAGTCAACTTGGTTAATGTATTCTTTTTTATTATGCTCGGGCTAAACTTAAAAAAAAAATTCTTTTAGGAATCTAGATCTAGATCTAGATTGTCGGGTGTCCGATAGGGCACTTCCCGGCGCCGCAGGCGCTTCAAATTTGGCATGATCTTGCCTTGGTGCGACAGAACACGGGGGCCGGTTGGCCGAAAAGTCTACGATGTGGGGGTCAAAACTGACCTCGACTGACCGGTACCTTATATGAGCTATAAATCGAAAAAAAATGTCCACGGAGGAACCTCTTCATAACTCTTGAGGTCGTAGACCGACCTTCGGGCGAATTAATTAAGCATTCAAATTCTCAATGTTTTCGAAAGCCTAAGCGAAGCTGGGCAGCATGCCTAGTTTTATATAAGAATATTCGAGAAAGTTTAGGGGAGATCACTCCCGGTTTATTTTGTAAATACATTACGTAAACTCCTCAAAATCTCACACGTAAAGTAATATAAAAGTATTTGAATCAAGGCAAAAAGAAATTTTTAAACTAAAATTACTACATAGACCATCTTTTATAAAAGAACTCAATTTTGAATAGATTATGATATATCTACTTCAAGGCTAATCCTAATCCTGAAGGTCATCACCCTAATCTTTAAACTAAGTGGTTTAGCTGTCAGGGGCTTAAAGGTCATACGTAAATGATGCCACACTTATGGAGCTGTAGGGGGAACAGAGTGACAAAGATTGAGATGGGTTTTAGAAAGTGTTATGTCACTTTTTATGTTACTTTTGATGTCACTTCACATCTTAGATTCAATGTACCATATTTCCGCAAGTTGTGTGGTTTTATAAAAATTCCCCATTTTTTGTGTGACCGCACATTAGTTCGTCAGTTGGGGAAAAGCCACGAGTGACGAGAACGCCCCCTGGGGGTCCCCACCCCTCGTGGACGCCTTCGGGCAGGATTTGAAACTTTGGTACGACGACAACAACAACAGGGTCAAGCTAAACGTCATGCGCTGTGGATTTAGGCTGCGCTTCCGGTAGGCGATTCGTCTGCTTCTTGTTCTTTTGCTCACTTCCATTCTAAGCTAAACATGGTTTTTATGTGCGTGAGTGCATTAAATTTTGTAATAGAGATTTTTTTCTTCATGCATCTTCCTCTTTCCTTGAGTACTTCCTACGCCCCCCCCCCCTCCCCGGACGAACTTTTAAAAAAAATTATTTTGAAAACATATACTTTAATTTGTGCTCTATTTCACACCCCCCCCCCCCACCCCCTCCTCTCCCACAGAAATTCTAAGTCCGCCTCCGAAAGTTTAAAGTGTATTCCCGGAAAAATGTGTGTGAAAAAAAAGAAACTGTAGTGTGCGTGTGTGTGTGTGTGTGTACGAATGCGCGTGTGCGTGTGTATATGTGTGTGTGCGTGTATGAATGTCTATGTGTGCATGTGTGTGTGTGCATGTATGTCTATGTGTTAGTGTGCGTGTGTGTGCCTATGTGTATTTGTGCCACCGATGCTAGCACCTACGCCTTATTCTTACACTTCATCACATACTGTAAACCTGCTAATAATGTGTTAACGTGACTTTATAGACCGGCGGACATCCACGAAGGCAAAGACCAGACCCAGGTACCGGGACTTTCTATTGGCATCATGACATCCCACGGTGAGAACATTATCTTTCTATTGGCATCATGACATCCCACGGTGAGAACATTATCTTTCTATTGGCATCATGACATCCCACGGTGAGAACATTATCTTTCTATTGGCATCATGACATCCCACGGTGAGAACATTATCTTTCTATTGGCATCATGACATCCCACGGTGAGAACATTATCTTTCTATTGGCATCATGACATCCCACGGTGAGAACATTATCTTTCTATTGGCATCATGCAATCCCACAGTGAGAACATTATCTTTCTATTGGCATCATGACATCCCACGGTGAGAACATTATCTTTCTATTGGCATCATGCAATCCCACGGTGAGAACATTATCTTTCTATTGGCATCATGACATCCCACGGTGAGAACATTATCTTTCTATTGGCATCATGCAATCCCACAGTGAGAACATTATCTTTCTATTGGCATCATGACATCCCACGGTGAGAACATTATCTTTCTATTGGCATCATGACATCCCACGGTGAGAACATTATCTTTCTATTGGCATCATGACATCCCACGGTGAGAACATTATCTTTCTAGTGGCATCATGCAATCCCACGGTGAGAACATTATCTTTCTATTGGCATCATGCAATCCCACGGTGAGAACATTATCTTTCTATTGGCATCATGCAATCCCACGGTGAGAACATTATCTTTCTATTGGCAACATGCAATCCCACGGTGAGAACATTATCTTTCTATTGGCATCATGCAATCCCACGGTGAGAACATTATCTTTCTATTGGCATCATGACATCCCACGGTGAGAACATTATCTTTCTAGTGGCATCATGCAATCCCACGGTGAGAACATTATCTTTCTATTGGCATCATGACATCCCACGGTGAGAACATTATCTTTCTATTGGCATCATGCAATCCCACGGTGAGAACATTATCTTTCTATTGGCATCATGACATCCCACGGTGAGAACATTATCTTTCTAGTGGCATCATGCAATCCCACGGTGAGAACATTATCTTTCTATTGGCATCATGACATCCCACGGTGAGAACATTATCTTTCTAGTGGCATCATGCAATCCCACGGTGAGAACATTATCTTTCTATTGGCATCATGACATCCCACGGTGAGAACATTATCTTTCTAGTGGCATCATGCAATCCCACGGTGAGAACATTATCTTTCTATTGGCATCATGCAATCCCACGGTGAGAACATTATCTTTCTATTGGCATCATGACATCCCACGGTGAGAACATTATCTTTCTAGTGGCATCATGACATCCCACGGTGAGAACATTATCTTTCTAGTGGCATCATGCAATCCCACGGTGAGAACATTATCTTTCTATTGGCATCATGACATCCCACGGTGAGAACATTATCTTTCTATTGGCATCATGACATCCCACGGTGAGAACATTATCTTTCTATTGGCATCATGACATCCCACGGTGAGAACATTATCTTTCCATTGGCAACATGACATCCCACGGCGAGAACATTGTTTGCTGTGTGTGGTGACGTGGTTTGGTGTGTAAGGGAATGTGTATGTGTGTTGGAAATAGTGTCGTGAGTTGCGGGGGCGACTGTGTAGGCTTGATGTGTTCGCGAAGTAGGTCATGTAAGGTCATGTGCTAAATTTTTTTTTGGGGTGGTCGGGGGGGGGGGGGGGGGGAAACAGAGCTTAATTTTTAGGAATCTGTGGTGGGGGGGGGGGGGAAAGGGAGTCTTGAGGCACCCTAACCCCTCTGCTGGTACGCAGCATTGATGTGGGTGGGGGATATTGGTAGGGGGGGACAAGAACAGAGTTTAAAAGAAGAACGTTAGAAGCTGTGATCGTTTTAAAAAATATATATAAACGCAGTAAAAAGAAAAAAAAAAGTTGTAGTTGTTGTTAAAAAGGATTGGGTCTTGTCAAGATAAGCCGCGCCAAAAAGTTTACACCCGCCACCAAAAAACGATTATTAAAAGAGGTTATGAAACTTGTTCTTTTAGATTTTATTGAAGAGGGTGAAATTGCGACATGTCATTTAAAAATGTCTGTATTTTTGTATCTTTAACCCTAACACTAACCCCAACCCTAACACTAACCCGTGCATTAAATTGGCAAAAAGTGGCGGGGCTTAACTTTTCGCGCGTGCACTTTTTGCATTAACTGCGGGGCTTATCTGGACAAGACCCAAAGAATTTCTCGATGATTGACCAAACTATTGTCACGACAATAAACAGGTCAATTCTATTTATAGCCCCCCAATGGCTGTCGCTGGACACTGTGATAGCACTTCCGCCATTTGGGAATGGCCCCACCCTCGGCCAGGTGGCCAACGAATTGAATTTGGCGCCAGAGGAAGCCATGATCGTGAGGTCCTTGCAAGGGGCGGCAGACCAGGACTTGTAAGTGCTTTTTACGATATAATTTGTTTTGCTGAATTTCGTTTAGCTAAATGTATTATAATATCCTTTTTTTTGGTGCTGAACTTTGTCCTGCAGAGTATACTATAATTTTAACTCGCTGAAGGCAAGAGATGTTGTGGATATAACCCCCCCCCCCCCTCTATAAACTCGTAAAAATGAAAGCTGTCTTACATTAAGTCAGAGTTTCTTCCAGGCATCTCTTCGGGAGAAGCCACCGTAAAATTTAGTCCACCCCTACCCCCCCCCCCCCCCCCAGTTACAGCAGTTGGCAAGAGTAGGCTCATGTCGCTGTGTGTTTACAACTTAAAAAGTTTGATAGTTATAATATTAACAACTTCAAGTCATTAAATCGTTATATATATATATATATATATATATATATATATATATATATATATATATATATATATATATATATATATATATATATATATATATATATATATAATAAAGTCAAATATAAAGTCAAATGCATGCTTCGCCACTTTTATAGTATACTTTTGTTGTAACGCCTGTTTATTTAGATTTATCTCAAGTAACCTCATAATGTAGGCTTAAACAAAATAATAAACCACACTATATAATATTTCTTAATTTGCTTATGGTTTGTGGATGTTCTGATTTTACGATATATATATATATATATATATATATATATATATATATATATATATATATATATATATATATATATATATATATATATATATGACTCAGGTTTCTGATACTTGATTCTGTTGGTTTTCTCCTCCCCCTCCCCCTCCCACCCCCCACCCCATCTCAGCCCTGGAGCCGCCCCTGCTTGTATAGATCTGATCAACGTGGCAGCCAACCTAATCGACGGGGCCGCCAGGAAAGAGGCCATCGAGATGTGCTCCTTCATCATCATGTCGCCGCCTTTCCTCCGGAACTGGTCGAGACCGGACCCCACGTCCTCTCAGTCCGCCCTAGAACTGTTCCAGATGTGCACCGAGGCCTTCTACAACATGGACACGAACCTGTGCCTGCAAGTCATTGCCGCGATCGAAGCTGATCCCGTGAATTACGTGCATGCGCTTCCGGAGCTGATGGGCTTCAACTGTGTGTTCTAGGCAGCACCGCTAAAGGGTCGGAGTAGTCTCCCCGTCTTTACAGCCTATGTGCCGGAGTGGAAATTTTAAGTTCACGGAAATCATTGATTGCCTTTAAATGTGATGAATTAAAGAAAAACATACGTTCATATTAGTTCAATCTTTGCACATGAAATTATGCCTGCCTGTTGGTCTGTGTGTTTGTCTGTGTTTTATGATTTCGGGGCCACAAAAACTTTAAAGGATAACTAAGACAAAACTATTTTGCCAAAAATATTAACTTGGTTGTTTCCCTTTGTCCATAAAAATAATTCTATAATAACTATTCATAACCAACACTAAATTAAATGTTGGTCTATAATCTATATGATATGTGCCGCAAGACAATTTCTCTGTTGGGTAGGGGACTTTGGCGGAAGGATTTGCATTTTAAATTTGCGATGAGGGAGTAAAGGAAGGCGTTAAAGTATGTATTTTCTATATAATTTTTTTTCTTTCGTACTGTCCTTTAAGCATTAAAACACATTACTTCCCATTGCAAAAAAAAAAAAAAAAAAAAAAAAAAAAAAATTACTGAGAAGTGGTTGAGGATTAAAAAAAATTAATTCCAGTTGGTGTAGCCACGGCAGTGAGGTGTGGTTTAGCGCCCAGAGTTCCCCAGCGGATCCCTTGATTGGGCGCCCTGCACATAGGGTCAGGGTTACTACATGATTTAATGGTCAAACTGCATCAGGCGCATCCGCCGGCGTCTCGGCTGTCGTGTGACCCGGGGCGCCACGGCTTTCCTCATGAGCACTATGGCACCTATATTCCTTTTAAACAGCGCCATACACTAGGGTCACGGAGGGCTACTAAAATCGATGACTAGAGCGAACAATTGGCGTCTTCGGTCGCTTCCGCGGTTGTATGACCTTGTGCACCTCGGGTTACACCATGACACTAACACTCGTTTTATGACACTAACTATGACGCCAACACTAGTTTTATGACGCCAACACTAGTTTTATGACGCTCTTTAAAACGATAGTAGTCGTAGGGATCAGAAACCAGCCGGGTTTCTAGACCAGGAGCCCGTAGTCTGACTCACTAACTTAGAAGATTAAGGGATGAACATTCACGCCTTCCCGGGATTCTTTCAGGCTTTTTTGCGTAGGGGGTGCGTATGTTACGTCGCGGGTCAGCTCGTATATTATATTTACATTTAATACAGTCTAAATGGGGGGGGGGGCAGTCGGTGCTCTGTGAGATATACCTGAAAGAAGCACTATGTGTATGAGGACCTCTATAGCACCCCACCCAGGGCTCGCAGGGGACGGGCACAATGACGACTACCACATACACAGCCTGATACGATGTGGTAACTATGGGCTACTCAAAGAAGCCTCGGACACCCATCCAATTTTATTTTTTTTATACTTTCATTTTTTTTAAGTTTGAAAAATGCACACTATGACAATAAAATAATAATGAACCAATATTTAAATAGCTAAAATGAAAAGCGTAGGCCTCTTGTTAAATTCCAGTAAAGGTATTCAATACATATTGTATAGTGACCCTCTATTTCTGTATACCATGACCTAAACACACGAGACAAAATGATAATCGACAACATTCCTTCCCCCTTCGTTTTGAATGCTGTGCCATTAGAAACATAGTCTGTAAGTGTAATCCTGGTTTGGAGCATTCCTAACACGTTTAAATAATATTTCTCCCATTCATTAGTACTATTAGTAACAAAAAATTGATTATAATATTGTTGGTTTTTTTTAAAGATTGGGTTCTTTTCCCACAGATGTTCAAACGTAAAACAGTTAACTTCATATTATGTGAATTAAAAAGTAAAATCGCCAAATAAGTTTTTTTTTTTTTATATAAAAACGTGATCCTAGTTAGACATCTTTAGGCGAGTATCAATAAGAAGAAGAAAAAAATTCAAGATACATTTTCAATTAAAGGTTTTTATGTTTCTTGAAGATGGACTGACAACTATGATGTCGGTACGTAGACACACCGTAATTTAATGTTTACATTCGTTTGGTAGATCTAGATCTAGATCTAGATCTACTTGTCTGTTTGTAGCATTCTATTCCCTGAAATTTATGAACTGTTCAGCTAATCGCATTTTTTTTTTACCGTTTAAAATTTAGAATCTAGTATCAAAATAATAAAATGGCAGACTCATATGCTTTGGTGAAAGGGGGTAAACTGAATTTAAAAGGTCACAAAACCAAGAAGTGAGTAGATTGATGAGTAGAATCTAGAATCTAGAATAAATTGAGAGATGTAAGATCTAGAATGTCATTTGTCATTTTGTCAACAATGGACACCAGCGAGTTGACGAGATTCCTTCCATAATGTTGTTGACATGGAATAAAAACGTGCTTTTTAGATTTAGACAGTAAAAAAAAATATAAACTTAAGCCTAAAATTAATTTAGAAATTTTATATTTTTACAATACGTAAATGCTAGATCTAGATTTCTATAACATAACAGTTGCAAATCCAGAGGACTTGAAAATAATTTGTTGAGTTTTAGGCTACATTTCTATTTATTTTCATCAAGACTAAGTCCTAAGTTATAACCGGATGTTTCACTTTCGTAAGACAAATATTGATTGGCTGTACAGTAACTTAGTGATCGATAACTATTTGTTTACAAAACTTTGCAGGTCAAGTTTTTAAATAACAATGCAAATTAAAAACCCCATGACCTAGTTTTCTATTTTTAACTTACAATGTGTACAATAAAATTTTCTATTTTTAACTTACAATGTGTACAATAAAATTTATGGCGGCCTATTCAATAGCAGGATGCCATTGTTTATGTCGCCATTACACGTGAAAACCTAATTGTTTTTGCTTTTTTTTAAATTTTTATTTAGTAACCGAAAATATCAAAAACATCAAATACATCCAATCTTTAGCAAAGTCCGAAAAAAAAAACAGACAGGCAGGATTTTATAACCATATTAATTGTAACTACGCTGTGCATGATTTTTAAATTAATTTATGGACCTCTCACTTAAATATCTTTGAGACTTTTTTTGCTGGTGTCCATTACAATATATGTGTATGACATGTCTGTCATCATGTGAATGATGTAGTCATGTAGTATGTACTAGATCTATGTATGTATGTAGTATTAAACAATCTGTATGGTGAAGGTAGATCACGATTCTAGATGTTTTCATTAGTAAAGTAAGTCAATGACAAGTTTTGTGTTTTATGTTGGTCTGATTATTTTTTCCTTAAGATCTAAGAAACACAAGAGTCACAAGAGAAAGCACGATGGGACTCCAGCAGACGCAAGTTCTAAAGAGAGAGAGGACACACACAAGCATGGTATGTGCTGATATAGCAAATCAGTGTTTGTGTGATGGTTGCCTAAATTTTCTAAAGGTTTTGTTTATTTGTTTTTGTATGATACAAACATGAGGCATTACTTTTATAGGCTCCAAATTTTTTTTAAGCAAACTTAATATTAGCAGAATAACTCTTTGGTTTACCATTAGTTTAGTAATAGTAGTTTCTTAATGACAATTTAGGAAGAAAGTAGAGTGGACACACCCTTAGAAAACCACATATCAACACCACAGAATTATTAGAGAAAACAGTAGGAATATATTAATTTTATTGCTATTGAAAAGCTATTTGAGAATTTGTTTTGTTTCCTGTTAAAGGTGGTTGGTGGGAAATAAAAAAGTTTGAAGACATTGCAGCCAATGTTGCCATTGAGTTCAAGGACCACACATACATCACAGCACTGGACAATGGGCAACTGGCCCTTGGAGACTCGAGGAAGGAAGGTGAGCTGAATGCTTGTGTGTTAAATACCAACGCAGCTGTTTTTTGGGGACTTCAGGAAGGACTGAAATGTCTTTCTTGCCTCTGTAACTGATATATTGATACAAAACACAACTTCAGGGGGTGACCCACTGATGTGACTCATGACTCATTGATGTGACTTATAGATATGACCCATGGCTCACTGATGTGACTCATGGCTCCATTGTACCAAATGACTCACTAACATGAATTAACAGGTGATGGCCCAGACCCAGCAGAAGTGTTCACGGCCATCAAAATCAACGACACAAAGGTGGCCTTCAAGTCTGGCTACGGCAAGTACTGGGGTGTGGAGGCCAATGGTCAAGTTGTCGGGGTTGCTGAGGCCATGGGATCAAGGGAGCAGTTCGAGCCTGTCTTTCAAGAGGTAAACGCCACTGTTTCTCTTCATATAGAATTTTTTTTCATATTATAGAACCATGCAAGTTCTGTGTATGGGTAAAACCAATGCAAATTATTATACTTCCTTATATGTTTAATTAACAACTTGATGGGTGTGATCATCATCTTTTCCCGTTTGCACCCAAGACACATAGGGCAGATGAAGTAGAATTCATCTGCTTCAGAGACATGTGTGATGCAGAAAAATAATCCCACTTGGTTGAAGAGTCATCACAAGCTATTATTGAAGTAATTTTGGAAAACATCAGTCAACACGATATAAAAAAGAAACAGACTTCATCACATAGAATTTTAACTAGCTACTCATATATTGAGAATTAAAAGATTATCTAATAATTTAAAAATTGTAGCTATGTATTGGCTGTTTGTCCAACTGGTTTTTTAAACGTATCAAATATTTTGCAGGAATTAATATATCAAAGGCAGATAACTCTTTTTTTTTTTTGGCTTCAGAGGGGAAATTAATTTTTGGCTTTAGAGGGGAAATAATCTATACATTTTGATGTACCAAAACCTATTGAACTGAATTAGGTTATTTGGTACTAGTTTTCCGTGACTTGTAAGAAGTTTAGAATTGTTTAAAAGCATTTCAGTCCAAGATTCAAAAAAGTTTTAAAAACCTTGTTTTAAAATGTCAATTTCACCTAAAACTAAAACCAATTGATAATATTTTCAGGGCAAACTTGCTTTGTGTGGCTGCAACAATTTCTTCGTGTCATGCGATGAGAAAGGTCGTGTGGTCTGTCTCAGTCGAACAGCTGGGCCTAACGAGATGATCAAACTTCGTTCTAACACAGTCAGAGAGAAGGATCCACTAGAGGGCGTCCCCAGCGAGGACCGAGGCTCTGTCAAGGAGGCTGAGATTAATTATGTGTAAAGAATTTTGTTAGAAACCTAACTACTATATTAAGTTAGCATTTTGGATCTTGTGGTCAGGATGGCAGCTGAAGTAAACGTACCTCGTTTGAACCTGACCATCCATGGGGCAAGTGAAGTAGAGTTCACCTGTTACTGTGACCTCAGCATATGAAGAGATAGTGTGGTCAGCACTATGCCCAGTTGCCTTTACTTTCCCTAACATGAGTTAGATACCCATCAGTGTTCTGGTGACTCAGTGACATGCTATTGACTTGAACAGGGATTCGAACTTGAGACTTTGAAGTTAGCAGTCTAGACCATGTTGCCCCATGCAGATAAAGTAGAGTTCACCTTTTTCTGTGACCTTGGCTTTTGGAGAAATTGTGTGGTCAGTTTTGTACCCACTTGCCGTTTCTTCCATGCATCTCTTTGGGGGGGCTAAGGCCCCCCCCCCCCCCCCAAAATTTCTACCCCCCCCCCCCCCCCCAACGAAATAAAATTTATATAATTTATATAGAAAATATATACTTTTAACAGTGTCCGCCCCCCCCCCAAAAATTTCAAGTGCCCCCCCCCCCCGGAGAAAGAAGTCTGGAAGAAACACTGCTTGCCGTAACTTTTTCCTAACTTGATTCAGGTACCCATCAGAGCTGGATGAGCTCTGACATTTTCTACGAACTCAAGACAGGATCTGACAGGATTTTTGTATTTGTTCCCCTCAGTTCATTATCCTCCCAGTTTAGAGTTTAATTTGCAAAGTTTTTGATTGTTTTGAAAAAAAATATTCTGTGTCTAATTTCTATATTTTCTCACTTGATTCATACTATTAGAATACGACATGTTAAAATAGCAAAGGCCATGAATAGTGCTGGGAATCATCATTGGGTTAAAAATTTGTCACATCGTTGACAAATGATTCAACATTCACAAATATTTTTCAAATTATTGAATATTTTCAGTTAAAAATATATATTTATAACACACCACATTCATGCAGGTTAATTTATTGAAATTGTATGTTTTCTGATTCATAAAATTTTTCTTGCAGTAAAAAGTTCCAGAGCTTTCAAGACCGGCGCCTGCGTGTGAGCGAGGTAGACAAGTCTCAGTTAAAAAAGGCCAAGCGCGAGGGAGACTTCCATGAAGTCATGCTGGACAGAAGGGAGAAGATGAAAGCAGATCGCTACTGTAAATAAAAGACCTAGTTATCTATTTGTTTCGTTTCTGGTATGGTAGAGCTTTTGTACTGCTGTGGTTTAGAAACTGTGGTGTAAACAGGATTAAGATATCACTTTCTGATTAGCATTTGAGTACTCTGCCTCCCAACTATGCTGGCTGTAATGACAAGACAGTTAAATATAAAAGTTGTTGTACAAAACTTAGCCCCAATGGTCTTGGGTGAGCACATTTAAGTCCCTTCCTTCATTTCAAATCATGCACAATTCCATTATTTTGTATTGTCGTGTGAGTTTTCATCAAATTGAGAATACTAACTTACAAACAAAAAAGTGTCTGACCAATTACAGCAGTAAATCTCAGACAAGAATGGTTCAATATAAATTTTCTACATTTTGACCAAATATTTTTCTATATTGTCAGTTGCTTAAAAAAACTTGTTTTATTTTGAATCCTATGAGATTTGTATACACAAGACAACATAATATCTTGACCGGAGAGAGGTGATTGGTGTGTGGGGCTGGGGGAAAAAAGAGCAGGACTTTTAAATATAAAAGTAAAGTTCACTTTTTGAACCTGACAGTGAAGTAGAGTTCACAAGTCTCTGTGACCTCAGCATACGAAGGGATAGTGTGGTCAACACTTCGCCCTGCCACCTTTATTTTCCCAAACATGAGTCAGGTACCCATCAGTGCTGGATGGACTCAAGGATGTTCTACGTAGTTGAACCCGGATTAGAACTCGAGACTTTAAGGTTAGCAGTCATATGCCCTCCCATTTGACTACTCCATCCCATTGGTTTTAAATATGCTGACAAGATCTGTCCACATAGCTTGTTTCCTCCTTAAAAATTATTTTCCATCCACTCACTATAAAAACTCAAGCATAAAAAAATTAACAAAAAACATGTTGCTTCTCTTTCTAAGAATGGAAAGTTTTAATCAAACAAAACAATTCAAAATTTAAAAAAAATCAAAATAACATCAACAAGTCAAAGAGTGAACAGAATACAAGTTTTAAAAATACTAGTCCAAACGGGTTAGGCTTGGGTTCAAAACAAATTCTTTTCTTCAAAGTAAAAATATAAAATAAAATACGTATGTACACGGTGTTGCTAAAACTTTCCTTAAAAAAGATCACAAGCAAGTTATCAACAGGGACTAAAACCCTAGCCCGGAGCTTTTAGTACAGAAAAAAATATTCTACTAGTGCACTTCTAAATCTAACATTGATAACAGTCAGGATAACAAGTATGTGGAGAGAATGATCCAATGGTTGAAAAACATGGAATTCATTGTTAAAAGACAAAGAAACAAACTTTGAAGTGCAGAGAGAGAGAAAAAATGTAAGTCTACAAAATGACACAATTTGGACAGAGCTTGCATGTTAGATTTGTGTCAATATTATGCATATAAACACCTCAGATTTTAAACACTGGATTTACTTCTCTTCATCTGGCTACCTATAGCTACTGATGGCTACCTATGGTCACCAGTGGCTACAAGAGTTGGATGGTCAGTAGGTTTCTGGACAACCAGGGGCTACAACTTGTGTGAAACATGGTAGGTTTGTGTGAGAGAAAGGTGGCAGGTAGGTTTGTGTGAATGAAGCATGGTAGGGAGGTTTCAAACCAAGGAAGTTCTGGAACACACAAATGCCGATTGAGGTAATGGAAAGAAAAACTAAAACAAGAAAATACTGAAATGTAATGGACCTGTCTGTTCACAGCTGGCAAGGGAAATCACTCTCACATTCAGAAAAATTTCATTGGCTAAAATAGCATTGGGATCAACTAAGAAAAAATAACTTAATAATTAAATCAATAAAAATGTTATTTAATTTAAAAAACAGTACCAGTTGTAAGAATTATGCATCCAAACATTATGCTAACAAGGTCAAGAAAAATACCTGATAGTAAAGTAATATCTAGGATGAAAATGAAAACAAAAGTCAAATGAAGATGAGTTAACTGCCACAATCATTCCTTCCCCTTATGAGTAAATATACTACCAGCTCTTGCCATCTTATAACGCAATACAAAGATTGAATCTGTCACTCCATCCACGCCCACTATCAAAACATGAAAAAACTTTTACTCTTCACTTAACCAAAAAATGTTAACAACAAAAGTGCTTGATTCACCAAGCAATCATATCACAAGTTGAAAATTGCATTTATATAAAAAAAAATTAAATAAAATATCAATAGCACACTTAGACTTATAGCTGCTAGTAGAAATAAACACTTTAGAGTTGCAGCTAATGTAATTCGTTTTATCTATTGCAAAAACACCTCTTGTTTTTACCATGAGGAGAAATCATTACAAAATTTGCTACATGTATTTTAAAAAGAGTTTGAAATAAACATTTCTATAAATATTTATTTCAGCTGATTACTTTTCATGTTAAGAAGTTCATATATTAAATATGCAACTGCCCAAGGCTAATCTAAACTGACTGCTAAATGCAAGGTGTCATACCAAATTCAGAAACTAGCCAGAAGTTACACAAGTAACTTGGGATATTTACAATTAGAAAATGCATATTTATAAATGAAATGGTATCAGCTTGACAAATAAAAATGTAATAAATAAATAAATAAAATCAACAATGATTGATGAATGAAAAAAATTAATAATGCTAATATCATGCAAGGAATTATTAGTTTATAAATAATGAGATCACACAGTGGTTATTGATTGAGTCAGTAATGATTGAAATTGGGGTTTCACAATCTCCACCTGGCTTTGATTACTATTTACATTTCCTAATTTCTGGTACTGTTATGTGGCTAAGATGGAGTTACTCATTAAGCACTGGACTAATATTTCAAGCTGGAGTTCCTCGTTAAGCACTGGACTAATTATTTCATGGATTAGCTAATCAGTAACCAAGATCACAAATCTAGATATTAAATCCACAGACCATCTGACAAAGACGATCAGAAGTCACGTTAAAGAATTGCAAATGGTGTTTTGTGTGGCAAAGATTAAACATTCAATGACTAATGACAAGAGAAATATTTAAGCTTATACACGATCTACTGATGCAATATTCTATTATTATTAATATTATGTACATCTCTCACCCTTTACCTATTTTGTCGGAAAATAGGAGTTTAGTAACGTCGTGTACAATTAACAAAGTTGATAATTTATGCAAAAGTATGGATGAATGAAAGAACGACTGCGATGTCGACATGGTGCATAATACAGCATCAGTGTGGTGCCACATTGTGGTACCCAGTGAATTCTTGACACAAGAAAGTGTGAATCATGACACCATGCTAGTCTATGAGAAACATACAAATCTAAACAAAATTAAATCAGTGCAGAGCTAGGGCAAAAAATAATTCACATATAGCTTTTTTTTTTTTCAACTTTAAAACAATTAGATGATTATGATTTTAACATTTTTAAAAACCCTGGCTTTATTTATATACCATTCAAAAAATCAGACGAATACTGAAACATTTATTCCTCAAAGCTAATTTCATATTTCATCAATAAAACAATCTGATATATACTGGTGAAAATATTAATAATTCTTAAACTGAAACTTGAGTAAATAAAAATCAACAAATTTGTAAACTATTTTAAAAAGTAATTCAAACTTAAATACACCTACAGGTGAGCTATGAAAGGGATATATATATTTAAAAGCCAGGATCATAGTTTTGCTAATGTAATCTTTCTTTATTTTAGAGAGTAATAACTTGAATGTTTCATGAACTTTTTTATAACAAAAATAAAAAAAAAATGTTCTGAGATCTGATTTCAAGAAAAACCTGAGTAACAACAACCAAGCAGAAGAGAGAGATTGTGGATTTCATGTGATCAGTTATGTCCCTTACATTATGACAAGGTCAAGGGCGTTGACTAGAATTGGCAGCTCCACTTAATACCTTATCACTAGGTTATTGCAATTAACATGGATGATTAAGTTCAAAGGTCAAATATTTATTAAACAAAACATCTCAACTCCACTGTTTCCCAGGCAGAAAAATGATTCATTAAAAAACTAATAAATTTTTAAAAAGTGGGATGTAAAAACCTGTGAAACTAATATTTTCTCTGTGTAAAATTTCAAAGACTTCCATTTCTTCTGATATAAAAAATATTAGTTTTATACATTATGTTTAAAAATGTAAATGTTTATACAATAATATCAATTTTTATGTTATTTATGATATTTAAAACTTAAATTTTAAAACTAGACGTCTTAAAAAAATTGAAATTTGACATGCCATTTTTAAAAGAAAACAAAACAAATGAAAAGCAATTTTTTAATGATATGAAATATCTATCAATTATCATTAATTGATCATTAATTATAAACAGCAGAGTAGTCCATCATCAGAGTGCCCAATGGTCACGTGACCCTGGTCTATTTGACTTAGGATTATGTACACATCTTGTTCCACAGTTAACAATGAACTGTGGAAATGAAAACTGAACTAGATCCAAGCAGAACTGTGGAACAGAGTATAAATTAACTAGGTCGTTAACCTTGCCCTAGGGTCAAGGACAACTCTTCACCCAATCAGAATCACAGCTTTTGTTGTATTTTCAAATCTCTGGTCGTATCTTGAAAACTGTAGCGGCAGCCCTATCCGAGGTCTGTACACATTATTAAACTAGAATCACACACACCACTGATCCTCTCCCCCACCCTCAGCGGGCCTCTTATCATCGTCCGTTGACTTGGACATCCCCGTTGGCTGGCAGCTCGTCCACCTCCTCCTCTATAGAAATTATCTGCTCCACGCTCATGGCCTGCGTGGAGTTGCCGTGGCGCAGCTTGAGAAGCTGACCTATGTGCACCCAGTGCTTGCGGTTCTCCTCCACGTTCCGCATGGGGGTCTGGGCCTCAGCAAACATCCTGGCTAGTATCCTGGGGGAGTAATAATATCATCTGTTAGAGTAAGCAGCAATGGGGAGGGGGAGTGGGAGGTTGGGGGAGGTGACGGTTCTTACAGCTTGCAGCAGTGTACAGCATAAATTTTTACTTTCTTGTATTTACGGAAAAACATAATTTTGCAATCTTGTCCGTATGTCTGTGTGTCTGTCTGTGTGTCTGTCTGTGTGTAAACATGATAACTTGAGTAACGTTACAGCTAGGTTCATGAAATTTCATATATAAGTATTTTATCAAAATCGTAGATCCTGATCAACTTTTGAGCAATTTCCGATAACCGGAAGTGGTACTTTTTCTACTTTGAATTTTTCAAAAGCCTATAACTTGAGTACTATTTCAGATAGATCAATGAAATTTCAAATGTAAGTAAAAGATCTAATTCTGTCAAATTTTGAGTAATTTCCGTTGATTGGAAGTACTAATTTACGCTATTTCCGATTTCTCAAAAATGCATGTAAATTTATAACGTACTAATAATATTGCGCAATTCTTTTTTCTATGAGATTCTATTCTATTTTTAAAAGTTTAAGTAATTAAAAATCATGTCTATATTCCAAGTTATATAAGAATATTCAAGAAAGTTTAGGGGAGATCACTCCAGGTTTATTATATTTAGTGTTAATCACTGTTGTTGGGCCCTACTGCTTTAAATGGCCACTAAAATGAAATGTTACACATTATCAAAGGTGGCAGGTCAGGTGTGAAAGGTGACTACACCAATTTTAAAGATAGTATACCATCAAATAATGGTGATCTGCATCAATTATAAAAAGAGGCAGGCCACCTATTCATGGTGACACACGCTCTATAAAAGGTGGTCCACATTTTATTAAATGTGACAAAACACCTATAAAAAGTGACACATTCCTATAAAACGGAACCCACTAATTAATGAGAGATGACCTGCCACCTATAAAATGTGACCCACCAATTATCAAAGTGACCCTCCAATTATAAAAGATACACCAACTACAAAAAGTGACCCACCAATTATAAAAGTGACCCACCAACTACAAAAAGTGACCCACCAATTATAAAGTAACCCCCCACCTATAAACTACAAAACTTACTTGTACACAGGCGCAGCTATATTGTCTAGAAAAGAAATCTGCAGTTCTGGCACACAGGCCCTCTCTCTGTCCATCATCTCCAGTGGGTTTTTGCCTAGAGCTTTTTCCAGATCTCCTTGAGAGAAGAACTCTTGGTACACCAGAGCCTGTAGAGACAAAACCACCAGAGTTATGGCCCCTTCTAACAACACCCAACTACAGTCAAGCTATGTGAATCTGCTAGAAATAGAGGGTTGAAAGAGTTTATAAAATGGCCTTAGGTCAAGATCTTTTACTGTAGTAAATAAAGTACAGATTCCTCTTTAGACCTAAAAATCCATTGTGCAGATTAAGTGGAGTTCATATGTTTCTTGACCTCGGCATATAAAGGGATAATGTGGTCAGCACTATGCCCAGCCACCTTTACTTTCCCTAACGTTAGTTAGTTACCCATCAGAGTTGGGTGGACTCAAGGGCGTTTTACTAACTTGAACCCGTATTTGAACTCGAAACTATCAGGTTAGCAGTCTAGCGCTACACTGCTAGGCTACACTATCCCATACTGTAGTAAGTAAAGAAAGCTTTTTGGACCTGGTGGTCAATAAGGTAGATGAAGTAGAGTTGATCAGTTTTTATGACCTCGGTATATAAAAGGATAGTGGGTCAGTTCTATGCTCAGCTGCCTTTCCTTAACAAAAGTCAGGTACCCGTTAGAGCTGGGTGGACTCAGGGACGTTGTTTAAGTGAGGTATCTGAACTTGGCTCATGATGCTCTCTCCTTCAACCTGCTAGTGGGAATTTGACTTTTTTTTTACGTTGGAATTCAATTTTTTTTAAGGGGCATCTTGCATTTGATTTCTTCATAATGGATTAGATTTCTAGCAAAAACTAGACCAACATAGAAGATAAGGTTACCCTGGCTAGCTTGCATAAGTAGACTGAAAAAGGAAAAGCTACTGAGGCCCTTTTATTTTTTTATGTAATGTGTGAGAGTGTAGACAAACTTACTGCTATATGCTTGTTAAGACACTTTACATCATGTAATGTAAGACATTGTAGACAAACTTACTGCTATATGCTTGTTAAGACACTTTACATCATGTAATGTAAGACATTGTAGACAAACTTACTGCTATATGCTTGGTGTTTAGACATTTGACATCATGTAATGTAGAGAGTGTAGACAAACTTACTGCTATATGCTTTGTGTTGTGAGAGTGTAGACAAACTTACTGCTATATGCTTGGTGTTTAGACATATTACATCATGTAATGTGTGAGAGTGAAGCCAAACTTACTGCTATATGCTTGGTGTTGTTCCAGTTCTTGGTCTGGTCAGATAAATCACAGGCTGTCATCAGCAGGCAGAGCAGGATATGTTTATGTTTGGGGTTGTTTCTGTCATAGGCATCACCTGTAATGGGGGGGGGGGGGTGAGGGTTAGTTTTTTTTATCACAAAATGTATACAGACAAGATGCAGACTGCCAAGGTGTAGAGAGACAACATACAGACAGACAAAAGTCATAGAACCAAGGTGTATAGATAGACAAATGGAGACAGACAAAAGTCTTACAACCAATGTGTTGACAGACAAAAGTCATCCAACCAAGGTGTAGACAGACAAATGTCGACAGACAAAAGACCTACTCTCAGCCAGCTCCTCCTGTTCTTTAACTGTCCTCAGGTGATGGGCCAGATCAGTGGCCAGGATGATGTCACGCATCAGGTCCAGTACACACTGGTATTCCTGCAGGTCACATCAAACATTAGGTCATTAGGTCTTGTCTATATAATAAAAGTTTCCACTTTAGATTTAGGTACCCATTAGAGCTGGGTGAAATCAGGGACATCCATAATATTTATTGACAACACACTAGTATTCCTGCAAGTCTTAAAGTTTGAAAGTTTGGACCATAATAACTAGTGACAATTGTGAAAATCACATGAAGATAAAAAAAAACAATAATTTATAAGTAGCAAATTAAAAACATCATAAATTTAAAAACCAGTAGCGTCATTGTTTTAGCAAAAAATTTTGTGTACAATATTTTAAAGAATTTTCCTTTATAAAAAAAAAAAAGATGTAATATTTTCAGTCAACCCAATTGAGCAACTAGAGTTACTGTTCCTATGAGCAACTAGAGTTACTGTTCCTATGAGCAACTAGAGTTACTGTTCCTATGAGCAACTAGAGTTACTGTTCCTACCTTGCTGGAGAGGTTCTCAAACAAGTTGCTTCCCTCTGTGTTCAAGATGCACATGCTCTGGGCCAGGTGATGGCGCTGCCATGGGAAAAAAAACAGTAAACCTTCACTTGGGAACTAATAAGTCATCTACACAAACCAGTTTAATACAGCTGGGCTTAAAAACATTTTAATATACCAGGGGAACATTTAGTTTATAGCATCAAATGCAAATTCTCATCATTGAATAAGCTAGTTAGTAAAAAAATACAAGAATAAAAAAGAGTGTTCTAATAAAAGCTGATCTAGTATTACACAAAAAATGTGTTTAGGGGGAGTGCATTAGTCTAGACAGAGTGCATTTGTCTAGACAGAGTGCATTTGTCTGGACAGAGTGCATTTGTCTAGACAGAAGGCATTTGTCTAGACAGAGTGCATTTGTCTAGACAGAGTGCATTTGTCTGGACAGAGTGCATTTGTCTGGACAGAGTGCATTTGTCTGGACAGAGTGCATTGGTCTGGACAGAGTGCATATGTCTGGACAGAGTGCATTTGTCTGGACAGAGTGCATTTGTCTAGACAGAGTGCATTTGTCTAGACAGAGTGCTTTGTCTAGACAGAGTGCATTTGTCTAGACAGAGTACATTTGTCTAGACAGAGTGCATTTGTCTAGACAGAGTGCATTTGTCTAGACAGAGTGCATTTGTCTAGACAGAGTGCATTTGTCTAGACAGAGTGTCTAACTTACCTCCATGACTGAACCTTCAGAACTGTAGAGGGCTGCTAGCACAGATTGCTGGACAGAGAAAAAAAATCTTTAGTGATAACACAAAATTATCTCTAAACACATTTTTAAATTAGAAAATGGATACTAGAGTCTTGTATTTATATAGAATTTTCTTTCTATCAAAACCAATTTAAAAAAAAGTAACTTTTTTGAAACAAAACTTGGGCAGGTATTGGAATAAAGGGAAGTAACTCACCGACTGTACTTGGAATGAGTTGGTTGTGCCCCTGTGATCAATATCATGACATAGACAAGACACAAATAGAGCAAGCAGTTCAATATCACTGTGGGAGAAATCAAAGTTTGAAGTGGTAGATAAAAAAAGCCTTAAATCTTTTTCAGACATAACACATTTAAAATTAAACCATTTAAAGACACTTTAGACAGTTTAATCTCCCCAGTAAAATAAAATGTTAACAATGGATCTCAAGCCGATAACTGGGCAGTCCCTAGACGTTACTTCTATCATACAGTGCTGAAATGTAACACTATCAAGATCATTGACTTAAGGGTAATTAGAAATAGGGAAGTTATGTAACTTGCTACAAGGAAAAGTAAAACTGTTAACAGATTAATCCCCTAGCAACACAGATCAGGGTATTTAATACATGAAAAAGAAGATGTTGCCTATTTGTGATTGGGTGATGTAGTCAGTTAAGGGCTAGGTTTTTTATCTACCCAGATGTATCTACTAATTGACCTTCCAGCGGAAATTCACTAACTAATAAACACTGGAAATTTATTTAAAATTAGTTCGGCGTGGTCGAGTCGGTAAAACTCATGGTTGCTAAACCGAAAAGTCTCGAGTTCGAACCCTCGGGCAGATGAGGCTCGTTAGCTGGGGACAGCCACTCTTCTAGGAGAGACAACTCCAAAATTAAACAACTGCTGCCTTGTAGTTTGTTCTTGGTTGGACAAAGGCTATGGAAGCAAATCCAAAAAGAAAAGCAGGCTGAAATCGGAGTCAATGGCCTCAATGGCGCATAACCAGTTGACACGTAACGCTTAATTGTGTTGGAGGCGTGGTCGAGTCGGCAAAAAGCTCATGGTTGATAAATTTGAACAAAGTCTCGAGTTCAAACGCACTGGCAGATAATTCTCGATCCCCTTCAACACTAATAATTAAGAACGAAGAAGAAGAAGAAGAAGATTTAAAATTAATTATGCCTTTAAAACCTCAACTATTCAATAGCTTGATAAAAACTTAGCCCTAATAGTTGCATAGATGAGTAACTGTTTTAAAAAAACTTACTCCAAATAGTTTTGTAGAATATAAACTGTTATAAAATACTTACTCCAAATAGTTTTGTAGATGATAAACTGTTATAAAATACTTACTCCAAATAGTTTTGTAGATGAAGGTTTTTAATCAGTAGGTAACAGAAGTGTGTGACGGAATAGGCGTGCATCCAGTTGTGGTAGGGAGGGTTCCTGTAGCCCTTCTTCACCATCAGTAGAAACCTGAGGCAGTACAACAACAGTTGATAGTAGGGCTAACATGTGTTTTGGTTGTGGCAGTACAACAACAGTTGATAGTAGGGCTAACATGTGGTTTTAGTTTGGTCACAAAAACTTGACTGTATGGGACTGTTGCTTGTGTACAGTGTGGTGAAATGATAAGTGTGGGTTGTGGGAAGTGTGGGTTGTGGGGGAGGGATTGCAAGAGGTGTGGTTTGTGGGAGGTTTGAGTTTCGGTCATGGGATGTGTGGTTGTGGGAGGTGTGGGTTGTGGGAGGTGTGGGTGGTGGGAGGTGTGGGTTGTGGGAGGTGTGGGTTGTGGGAAGTGTCTGTTGTGGGAGGTGGTTGTGGGAGGTGTGGGTTGTGGGGGAGGGATTGTGAGAGGCGTGGTTTATGGGAGGTGTGAGTTTTTGGGAAGTGTGGTTGTGGGAGGTGTGGTTGTGGGAGGTGTTGGTTATGGGAGGTGTGGATTGTGGAATTGAATATTGTGGGAGGGTGTCCTCACCTGACCAGTGTTTCCAACTTGACCCTCCACCGTGTGAGAAAACCAAGATCTTCAAACATACTGAGACAGGACTGGAGGCATAAAGAAACGTGTATTATAATACAACATTAGAATAATTTCTGCATCACCTTTTTAAGCAGGATTTTTTTTTAATCTGTAGTGAGTATCTTAGTTTAAACATGTTTTTTTTTTTTAAATTTTAGCTCTTACACTAAAAACTAAATTGTTACATTAACACACAAAAAGATATTTACAGTAACAGTGAGAGATTCTGGTATTGTCCGAGGAGCGAAGTCAAAAGAATCAAAGTGAATGTTGAACTGTGTGACAGGTGGGATGGGGGTCTCTGCCATCTTCTTCACCTCCTCCGTGGGCACTTGCTGGTGACACAAAGATGACATTCTCAAATATATTGTCAAAAAACTAAGTCTTACTCAAGTGGCTCACTAAAAATAAATGAGACAAAAATATTCTAATCAAATTGGCAAACTTCAAAGGTTTTACACCTGAGTGAACCCAACATTTTATTGCCTTTCATCGAATGTGGGTGCCATTAAAGAAATCAGATCATTAAGCAAGGTTTAATAATTATTAAGTGTTTTGCTTTTAAAAATGTCAACTTATTTTATCTGTAGAGTAATTAAATTAATTTTTTTCTCAAACAAACAATAAAAATTTAAATCAATACTTAAACTTTAATATCAAATTAATTATGTTTAAGCTAGTGCATTATGTAAGAAAAATAAATCTATTACAAATTTTTTAACATTTTTATCTACAATCAATAACTGTTTTACTCTCTAAATATATGTACACCTAATCATACAATGAATATTCAGCAGGCTAACAACAAATAAAAGAAAAAGATAAAAGGTTTCAAAAATATCACATTCAACTGCTAGTTTCAAAAAGAATTCACCATTGTCACCGTGTATTTACTTAATAAAAACTAAACACTAAAGGGCAGCTATTCCACATTTTTATCTCCTAAGTTAAAGCAAATATAATTTGCCACTGAAACCTAGTAAACAAGAGTACAGTCCCCTTACAAGGAATTATCGACTTGGCTTGTATCTTCTACAAGCTAGTGCCAACATACAAAAGTGGCATTGTTCACAAGCCATTGCAGAAAGATAAGCTTCTTATCCAAGCACTTGACTACAATGAAAACACATTCATTGAACAGTTCCGCAGGCTGTTGTGGTGCTGGTGTAAATCTTGGACCAGACAGGGACCTGATTGTCCTGGTCAAACAACTTGCTACACAGCTGGGTAGTTCAAAGTCATGTTTTCAAATCTGTTCACAAGAGGCTAGGTGGGTCCGTATCTATAGGGGTTTTACTTGTCTAATATTCTTTTATAGTGGCAAGTTTTTTTAAACTTTTTTTTAGAACAGCTTGGGGTCACGGGTTTAGTGGGGAGGGTTGTTGTTATAAGTAAGTTATGTGGTGGGGAGGGTTGTTGTTATAGTTATAGGTAAGTTATGTGGAGTGGAGGGTTGTTGTTATAGTTATAGGTAAGTTATGTGGAGTGGAGGGTTGTTGTTATAAGTAAGTTATGTGGTGGGGAGGGTTGTTGTTATAGGTAAGTTATGTGGTGGGGAGGGTTGTTGTTATAAGTAAGTTATGTGGAGGGGAGGGTTGTTGTTATAGGTAAGTTATGTGGTGGGGAGGGTTGTTGTTATAGTTATAGGTAAGTTATGTGGAGTGGAGGGTTGTTGTTATAGGTAAGTTATGTGGTGGGGAGGGTTGTTGTTATAAGTAAGTTATGTGGTGGGGAGGGTTGTTGTTATAAGTAAGTTATGTGGAGTGGAGGGTTGTTGTTATAGTTATAGGTAAGTTATGTGGAGTGGAGGGTTGTTGTTATAGGTAAGTTATGTGGTGGGGAGGGTTGTTGTTATAAGTAAGTTATGTGGAGTGGAGGGTTGTTGTTATAGGTAAGTTATGTGGTGGGGAGGGTTGTTGTTATAGTTATAGGTAAGTTATGTGGAGTGGAGGGTTGTTGTTATAGGTAAGTTATGTGGTGGGGAGGGTTGTTGTTATAAGTAAGTTATGTGGTGGGGAGGGTTGTTGTTATAAGTAAGTTATGTGGAGTGGAGGGTTGTTGTTATAAGTAAGTTATGTGGAGTGGAGGGTTGTTGTTATAGTTATAGGTAAGTTATGTGGAGTGGAGGGTTGTTGTTATAGGTAAGTTATGTGGTGGGGAGGGTTGTTGTTATAAGTAAGTTATGTGGAGTGGAGGGTTGTTGTTATAAGTAAGTTATGTGGAGTGGAGGGTTGTTGTTATAGGTAAGTTATGTGGTGGGGAGGGTTGTTGTTATAAGTAAGTTATGTGGAGTGGAGGGTTGTTGTTATAGGTAAGTTATGTGGTGGGGAGGATTGTTGTTAGGTAAGTTATGTGGAGTGGAGGGTTGTTGTTATAGGTAAGTTATGTGGTGGGGAGGGTTGTTCTTAGGTAAGTTATGTGGAGGGGAGGGTTGTTGTTATAGGTAAGTTATGTGGTGGGGAGAGTTGTTTGTATAGGTAAGTTATGTGGAGGGGAGGGTTGTTGTTATAGGTAAGTTATGTGGTGGGGAGAGTTGTTTGTATAGGTAAGTTATGTGGAGGGGAGGGTTGTTGTTATAGGTAAGTTATATGGAGGAGGGGCAGATTGTTGGTAACATGTGAAAGTTTAATGCAGTGAAGTTGTTGGATATGTTTTGGGTGGGTTGAGGGGGTTAAGTGTGTGTTATGTGTGGGGGATGACAAAGTTGTTGGGGGGGGGGAGGTTGATGATTAAGATAAAAGGTTAGGGTGAGGTTGTTTAAATGCTGAGGAATGTTATATGTGTAAGTTTAATCCTAGAGGTTTGAGTGTTGTATGTGTGTGTGTGGGAAGCCTTGCAAATGGTGGAGGTTGAGTGAGGAAAATGAAAAGAAAACAACTAAGGACCAGAACTAATGAGATACCTTAAGACAACATCACTTTAAGTAACAACACAACAGGGTTGTGTGGACAACAGGGTTGTGTGGGAACTTCAACAAAACCGCATTGTGTGGGAAGTTCAACACAACCACAACTTGTGGGAAACACAACCGCATCATGAGGGAAGTTCAATACAACCGCATCGTGTGGGAAACACAACCGCATCATGAGGGAAGTTCAATACAACCGCATCGTGTGGGAAACACAACCGCATCATGAGAGAAGTTCAATACAACCGCATCGTGTGGGAAACACAACCGCATCATGAGGGAAGTTCAATACAACCGCATCGTGTGGGAAACACAACCGCATTGTGTGGGAAACACAACCGCATTGTATGGGAAACACAAGCCTAGAATCACTGTACCAGTTTAACTGGGTCACAAGACAAATACTTAATAAAAAATTAACATCTATTTTTGTGGTTAAAATCTCCATTGTTCCTCTGTTTGTGTCTGAGCATTCTGGTCTAATCCTCTCTTGATATAGCCTGCATTTATCCAGTAGAGCAACCACTACAATGGCAGATATTTCGCTATTAGAGCAACCACTACAATGGCAGATATTTCGCTATTAGAGCAACCACTACAATGGCAGATATTTCGCTATTAGAGCAACCACTACAATGGCAGATATTTCGCTATTAGAGCAACCACTACAATGGCAGATATTTCGCTATTAGAGCAACCACTACAATGGCAGATATTTCGCTATTAGAGCAACCACTACAATGGCAGATATTTCGCTATTAGAGCAACCACTACAATGGCAGATATTTCGCTATTAGAGCAACCACTACAATGGCAGATATTTCGCTATTAGAGCAACCACTACAATGGCAGATATTTCGCTATTAGAGCAACCACTACAATGGCAGATATTTCGCTATTAGAGCAACCACTACAATGGCAGATATTTCGACAACCAGTGCAGTATAATAAATACACAAGTGATTAATATATCTCTTTTTAAATCTAAAAAATCAATCCAAACATTATGTGATGTATTTTACAGTAGTTTATATGATCTAAGCCAGGGGTCTCCAAACTTTTCAGTCCGAGGGCCGCATTAACTATCAAATTTCAGTTCGGGGGCCAGTTTCTTTTAGGAATGTCTTTAATTTTTCTGAGCAAAGTTCCTCAGCCATCACCAACACACGTTTTTTCCGTGGACAAAAAGATCTCCGCGGGCCGGATGAGAGGACATCGCGGGCCGCATCCGGCCCGCGGGCCGTAGTTTGGAGACCCCTGATCTAAGCCACAGAAAACAAAAAGAATGCTGTATTTATGTGATAGAGATACTGGAACGACGCTCAAGGCAAATCATTTGTTCGGACTTACCATGTGTATTTTCTTATAGAGAAGCATCAGCCAGCAAGGCTTGAGGTCAAGCTTGAGTGAGACCTTCTTGCGATACATTGCGGCTAGATCAACGCCCACCACTAGCCTTCAGAGTTGTCTAGCGGAACAGGTGCTACTTATAAGTGAACACCAGCTGACAATCTCTCATCACAGTGCACCTGTGTTCAGTGCACCTGGTGCGCAAAAGTTTCTAACTGTTTTAAACACAGTCTGTCTCTATCCAAGTCTATTGTCCTGCGGGTCATTAAAACCCACCTGTCTGACCAATTACCACCTGTCTATGGACACAGGAATTTAATGTTTGTTAAGTTTCTTCAAGGTGCGAAATCTTTTTTTGAGAATATGACTGAACAGGTAGTTCAACAAGTATTAATCAGACAACTAAATTGCTTGCTGTCCAAACTAATTCTGGCACTCAATACCAACACAACTATAATCCCAGCAACTAAATTGCAATCAGAACCAGAAATCCACGAATCTAAATTGACAACAGAAATAGAAGTTGCTGTATCTAAATTGACAACAGAAATAGAAATTGCTGTATCTAAACTGACATCAAAACTAAAAATAGTTGCACTAAATTGTCAACATAAGTAGAAAATGCATCTATATTGTCAACAGAATTAGCTATGACTAAAATGCTAACACATATACATATGAAACAACTTCTATAGCACTATTACATTTGAAAACAAACCCTCAGTAGTAGTTATGAATGAACCTCTGTATCCTACATACATATGAAATAAACCCTATGTAGCAGTTATATATGAAATAAACCTTAGTAGCACAAATTTGTATAACGTAAATCTCATCAGTGCACTTTGATATGAAATAAACTTCAGTAGCACAGCTTTGTGTGAAACAAACAGTAGCCCACATACATATATGCAATAAACCCCAGTAGCACACACACACAGCCAGCTACAGCACACGCCCGCAATGTTGACTTAACTTGGATCAATATTTAAAAAGTTAATTTCTATTTTTAACCCCAGCTGTGTTAACTCTCTCCTAGATGAAACAAGATGTATTCAACATTGGAATCATGCAAAC